GTCGAGAATGTAGTTGACGCACCCGTTAGAGAATGCTAGAGGACAGTCGAGAATGTAGTTGACGCACCTGTTAGAGAATGCTAGAGGACAGTCGAGAATGTAGTTGACGCACCCGTTAGAGAATGCTAGAGGACAGTCGAGAATGTAGTTGACGCACCTGTTAGAGAATGCTAGAGGACAGTCGAGAATGTAGTTGACGCACCCGTTAGAGAATGCTAGAGGACAGTCGAGAATGTAGTTGACGCACCTGTTAGAGAATGCTAGAGGACAGTCGAGAATGTAGTTGACGCACCTGTTAGAGAATGCTAGAGGACAGTCGAGAATGTAGTTGACGCACCCGTTAGAGACTGCTAGAGGACAGTCGAGAATGTAGTTGACGCACCCGTTAGAGAATGCTAGAGGACAGTCGAGAATGTAGTTGACGCACCCGTTAGAGAATGCTAGAGGACAGTCGAGAATGTAGTTGACGCACCTGTTAGAGAATGCTAGAGGACAGTCGAGAATGTAGTTGACGCACCCGTTAGAGAATGCTAGAGGACAGTCGAGACTGTAGTTGACGCACCCGTTAGAGAATGCTAGAGGACAGTCGAGACTGTAGTTGACGCACCCGTTAGAGAATGCTAGAGGACAGTCGAGAGTGTAGTTGACGCACCCGTTAGAGAATGCTAGAGGACAGTCGAGAGTGTAGTTGACGCACCTGTTAGAGAATGCTAGAGGACAGTCGAGAATGTAGTTGACGCACCCGTTAGAGAATGCTAGAGGACAGTCGAGAGTGTAGTTGACGCACCCGTTAGAGAATGCTAGAGGACAGTCGAGAATGTAGTTGACGCACCTTTTAGAGACTGCTAGTGGACAGTCGAGAATGTAGTTGATGCACCCGTTAGAGACTGCTAGAGGACAGTCGACAGTGCAGTTGACGCACCCGTTAGAGATCTGTCTAGAGTGACAGTCGAGAGTGTAGGATGACGCACCCGTTAGAGAATAGTCTAGAGGACAGTCGAGAGTGTAGTTGACGCACCCCAGAGACTGCTAGAGGACAGTCGAATACATATGTTGACGGACACCCGTTAGAGAATGCTAGAGGACAGTCGAGAGTTTCCCAGTTGACGCACCCGTTAGGAAGCTAGAGGACAGTCGAGAATGTAGTTGGACGCACCTCCTTAGAGAATGCTAGAGGACAGTCGAGACTGTAGTTGACGCACCCTAGTTAGAGAATGCTAGAGACAGCCGAGAATGTAGTTGACGCACCCGTTAGAGAATGTTAGAGGATGTAGCTCTCCATTACCTGTAGCTCCCTATAAACTGTAGCTCTCCATTACCTGTAGCTCCCTATAAAAGCTGTAGCTCTCCATTACCTGTAGCTCTCCCTATAAATGTAGCTCTCCATTACCTGTAGCTCCCTATATAACTGTAGCTCTCCATTACCTGTAGCTCCCTATAAACTGTAGCTCTCCATTACCTGTAGCTCCCTATAAACTGTAGCTCTCCATTACCTGTAGCTCCCTATAAACTGTAGCTCTCCATTACCTGTAGCTCCCTATAAACTGTAGCTCTCCATTACCTGTAGCTCCCTATAAACTGTAGCTCTCCATTACCTGTAGCTCCCTATAAACTGTAGCTCTCCATTACCTGTAGCTCCCTATAAACTGTAGCTCTCCATTACCTGTAGCTCCCTATAAACTGTAGCTCTCCATTACCTGTAGCTCCCTATAAACTGTAGCTCTCCATTACCTGTAGCTCCCTATAAACTGTAGCTCTCCATTACCTGTAGCTCCCTATAAACTGTAGCTCTTCATTACCTGTAGCTCCCTATAAACTGTAGCTCCCTATAAACTGTAGCTCTCCATTACCTGTAGCTCCCTATAAACTGTAGCTCTTCATTACCTGTAGCTCCCTATAAACTGTAGCTCTCTGTATTACCTGTAGCTCCCTATAAAACTGTAGCTCTGTAGTAGCTCTCTATAAACTGTAGCTCTTCATTACCTGTAGCTCCCTATAAACTGTAGCTCCCTATAAACTGTCGCTCTCCATTACCTGTAGCTCCCTATAAACTGTAGCTCTCCATTACCTGTAGCTCCCTATAAACTGTAGCTCTCCATTACCTGTAGCTCCCTATAAACTGTAGCTCTCCATTACCTGTAGCTCCCTATAAACTGTAGCTCTCCATTACCTGTAGCTCCCTATAAACTGTAGCTCTCCATTACCTGTAGCTCCCTATAAACTGTAGCTCTCCATTACCTGTAGCTCCCTATAAACTGTAGCTCTCCATTACCTGTAGCTCCCTATAAACTGTAGCTCTCCATTACCTGTAGCTCCCTATAAACTGTAGCTCTCCATTACCTGTAGCTCCCTATAAACTGTAGCTCTCCATTACCTGTACTCCCTGTAGCTCCCTATTACCTGTAGCTCCCTATAAACTGTAGCTCTCCTGTAGCTCTCCATTACCTGTAGTAGCTCTCCATTACCTGTAGCTCCCTATAAACTGTAGCTCCCTATAAACTGTAGCTCTCTATAAACTGTAGCTCTCCATTACCTGTAGCTCCCTATAAACTGTAGCTCTCCATTACCTGTAGCTCCCTATAAACTGTAGCTCTGTAGCCTCCATTACCTGTAGCTCCCTATAAACTGTAGCTCTCCATTACCTGTAGCTCCCTATAAAAGCTCTCCATTACTGTAGCTCTCCATTACCTGTAGCTCCCTATAAACTGTAGCTCTCCATTACCTGTAGCTCCCTATAAACTGTAGCTCTCCATTACCTGTAGCTCCCTATAAACTGTAGCTCTCCATTACCTGTAGCTCCCTATAAACTGTAGCTCCCTATAAACTGTAGCTCCCTATAAACTGTAGCTCTCCATTACCTGTAGCTCCCTATAAACTGTAGCTCTCCATTACCTGTAGCTCCCTATAAACTGTAGCTCTCCATTACCTGTAGCTCCCTATAAACTGTAGCTCTCCATAACCTGTAGCTCCCTATAAACTGTAGCTCCCTGTAGCTCTCTATAAACTGTAGCTCCCATATGTAAACTCCCTGTAGCTCTCCATTACCTGTAGCTCCCTATAAACTGTAGCTCTCCATTACCTGTAGCTCCCTATAAACTGTAGCTCTCCATTACCTGTAGCTCCCTATAAACTGTAGCTCTCCATTACCTGTAGCTCCCTATAAACTGTAGCTCTCCATTACCTGTAGCTCCCTATAAACTGTAGCTCTCCATTACCTGTAGCTCCCTATAAACTGTAGCTCTTCATTACCTGTAGCTCCCTATAAACTGTAGCTCTCCATTACCTGTAGCTCCCTATAAACTGTAGCTCTCTATAAACTGTAGCTCTCTATAAACTGTAGCTCTTCATTACCTGTAGCTCCCTATAAACTGTAGCTCTCCATTACCTGTAGCTCCCTATAAACTGTAGCTCCCTATAAACTGTAGCTCCCTATAAACTGTAGCTCTCCATTACCTGTAGCTCCCTATAAACTGTAGCTCCCTATAAACTGTAGCTCCCTATAAACTGTAGCTCCCTATAAACTGTAGCTCTCCATTACCTGTAGCTCCCTATAAACTGTAGCTCCCTATAAACTGTAGCTCTCCATTACCTGTAGCTCCCTATAAACTGTAGCTCCCTATAAACTGTAGCTCCCTATAAACTGTAGCTCTCCATTACCTGTAGCTCCCTATAAACTGTAGCTCCCTATAAACTGTAGCTCCCTATAAACTGTAGCTCTCCATTACCTGTAGCTCCCTATAAACTGTAGCTCTCCATATAAAAACTGTAGCTCTCCATTACTGTAGCTCCCTATAAACTGTAGCTCTCCATTACCTGTAGCTCCCTATAAACTGTAGCTCTCTATAAACTGTATCTTCATACCTGTAGCTCCCTATAAACTGTAGCTCTCTGTCATTACCTGTAGCTCCCTATAAACTGTAGCTCTCCATTACCTGTAGCTCCCTATAAACTGTAGCTAGTAGCTCCCTATAAACTGTAGCTCTCTATTAAACCTGTAGCTCTCCATTACCTGTAGCTCCCTATAAACTATAAACTGTAGCTATTACCTGTAGCTCCCTATAAACTGTAGCTCTCCAAACTGTAGCTCCCTATAAACTGTAGCTCTCTATAGCTCCCTACCTGTAGCTCCCTATAAACTGTATTACCTGCTCCTATAAACTGTAGCTCTCCATTACCTGTAGCTCCCTATAAACTGTAGCTCTCCATTAACTGTAGCTCCCTATAAACTGTAGCTCTCCATTACCTGTAGCTCCCTATAAACTGTAGCTCTCCATTACTCTCCCTATAAACTGTAGCTCTCTATAAACTGTAGCTCCCTATAAACTGTAGCTCCCTATAAACTGTAGCTCCCTATAAACTGTAGCTCCCTATAAACTGTAGCTCCCTATAAACTGTAGCTCCCTATAAATTGTAGCTCTCCATTACCTGTAGCTCTCTATAAACTGTAGCACTCTATAAACTGTAGCTCTCTATAAACTGTAGCTCTCCATAAATTGTATCTCTCTTCAAACTGTATCTCTGTATAAATTGTAGTTCTCTATAAACTGTATCTCACTATTACCTGTATCCCATATCTCACTGCAAACTGTATCTCTCTATCAACTGTTCTCAAAACTGTATCTCTCCATTAATTGTTCATGAATTTTCTATCTTCATAAACATTATCTCTCCATACATTTTATAAACACTTCAAAACTTAAAATCCATGTGCTTGTCTGTTTGTATATTTCTGGGTCACAAGAACTTTTGCCAAACAGTGACCAGTAAAGGGGTGACATTTGCAAATGCCATTATGGCTACAATGTCTGACAGGTGTTTTATTTGCAGCTAAATTAACCAAAGGTAAACATTCACTGGCATTATATCCCTTGAGTGCTTAAGTAATTGTTTGTCTCTCCAAGAACGAGTTTTGACAGTTTAGCTCTCACTAGGATGGTCTTGCCTGCCTGTATGTCTAAAAGTTCAACTGGGACGTTCTCATCTACTGATGTGTCTTATAGTTCAATTCTCACTGGGATGTTCTCATCTACTGATGTGTCTTATAGTTCAATTCTCACTGGGATGTTCTCATCTACTGATGTGTCTTATAGTTCAATTCTCACTGGGATGTTCTCATCTACTGATGTGTCTTATAGTTCAATTCTCACTGGGATGTTCTCATCTACTGATGTATCTCATAGTTCAATTCTTATTGGGATATTCTCATCTACTGATGTATCTCATAGTTCAATTCTCACTGGGATGTTCTCATCTACTGATGTATCTCATAGTTCAATTCTCATTGGGATATTCTCATCTACTGATGTATCTCATAGTTCAATTCTCATTGGGATGTTCTCATCTACTGATGTATCTCATAGTTCAATTCTCATCAGGATGTTCTCATCTACTGATGTATCTCATAGTTCAATTCTCATTGGGATAATCTCATCTACTGATGTATCTTATAGTTCAATTCTCATCGGGATGTTCTCATCTACTGATGTATCTCATAGTTCAATTCTCATTGGGATGTTCTCAGCTATTGATGTATCTTATAGTTCAATTCTCATCAGGATGTTCTCATCTACTGATGTATCTCATAGATCAATTCTCACTGGGATGTTATCTACTGATGTATCTTATAGTTCAATTCTCATTGGGATGTTCTCATCTACTGATGTGTCTTATAGTTCAATTCTCACTGGGATGTTCTCATCTACTGATGTATCTTATAGTTCAATTCTCACTGGGATGTTCTAATCTACTGATGTATATTATAGTTCAATTCTCATTGGGATGTTCTCATCTACTGATGTGTCTTATAGTTCAATTCTCATTGGGATGTTCTCATCTACTGATGTATCTTATAGTTCAATTCTCATTGGGATGTTCTCATCTACTGATGTATCTCATAGTTCAATTCTCACTGGGATGTTCTCATCTACTGATGTATCTTATAGTTCAATTCTCACTGGGATGTTCTAATCTACTGATGTATATTATAGTTCAATTCTCATTGGGATGTTCTCATCTACTGATGTGTCTTATAGTTCAATTCTCATTGGGATGTTCTCATTTACTGATGTATCTTATAGTTCAATTCTCATCGGGATGTTCTTATCTACTGATGTATCTCATAGTTCAATTCTCATTGGGATGTTCTCATCTACTGATGTATCTTATAGTTCAATTCTCATCGGGATGTTCTCATCTACTGATGTATCTCATAGTTCAATTCTCATTGGGATGTTCTCATCTATTGATGTATCTTATAGTTCAATTCTCATCAGGATGTTCTCATCTACTGATGTATCTCATAGTTCAATTCTCATTGGGATATTCTCATCTACTGATGTATCTCATAGTTCAATTCTCATTGGGATGTTCTCATCTACTGATGTATCTTATAGTTCAATTCTCATCAGGATGTTCTCATCTACTGATGTATCTCATAGTTCAATTCTCATTGGGATGTTCTCATCTACTGATGTATCTTATAGTTCAATGCTCATCGGGATGTTCTCATCTACTGATGTATCTCATAGTTCAATTCTCATTGGGATGTTCTCATCTATTGATGTATCTTATAGTTCAATTCTCATCAGGATGTTCTCATCTACTGATGTATCTCATAGATCAATTCTCACTGGGATGTTCTCATCTACTGATGTATCTCATAGTTCAATTCTCATTGGGATGTTCTCATCTACTGATGTATCTTATAGTTCAATTCTCATCAGGATGTTCTCATCTACTGATGTATCTCATAGTTCAATTCTCATTGGGATGTTCTCATCTACTGATGTATCTTATAGTTCAATTCTCACTGGGATGTTCTCATCTACTGATGTATCTCATAGTTCAATTCTTATTGGGATATTCTCATCTACTGATGTATCTCATAGTTCAATTCTCACTGGGATGTTCTCATCTACTGATGTATCTCATAGTTCAATTCTCATTGGGATATTCTCATCTACTGATGTATCTCATAGTTCAATTCTCATTGGGATGTTCTCATCTACTGATGTATCTCATAGTTCAATTCTCATCAGGATGTTCTCATCTACTGATGTATCTCATAGTTCAATTCTCATTGGGATAATCTCATCTACTGATGTATCTTATAGTTCAATTCTCATCGGGATGTTCTCATCTACTGATGTATCTCATAGTTCAATTCTCATTGGGATGTTCTCAGCTATTGATGTATCTTATAGTTCAATTCTCATCAGGATGTTCTCATCTCTTCTCATCTGATTCTTAAATTCTCACTGGGATGAGGCCTCTCTATCAGATGTGTGGTCTCTCTATCAGCTCAACACTGCAGATGTGTGGATTCTCAATCAGATGTGTTGTCTATCTTCAGCTAAAAACTACAGACATGTAGTTTCTCTATCAAATTTGTGGTCTTTGCATCAGCTCAGCACTTGAGATGGGTGGTCTCTCTTTAGTTATTAATTACAGATGTGTAGTATCTCTATCAGATTTGTAATCTTTGCATCAGTTCAAAAATACAGATGTGTGGTCTCTCTTTAGTTCATAATTACAGATGTGTAGTATCTCTTTCAGATTTGTGGTCTTTCTATCAGCTCAGCACTTCAGATGTGTAGTCTATCAGCTCAGCACTTTTAGATGTGTGGTCTCTCTGTCAGCTCAACACTACAGATGTGTGGTCTCTCTGTCAGCTCAACACTACAGATGTGTGGTCTCTGTGAGCTCAACACTACAGATGTGTGGTCTCTCTACCAACTCAACACTACAGATGTGTGGTCTCTCTGTCAGCTCAACACTACAGATGTGTGGTCTCTCTGTCAGCTCAACACTACAGATGTGTGGTGTCTCTGTCAGCTCAACACTACAGATGTGTGGTCTCTCTCACACATGTCCAGGACTGAAAATTACTGTGAGGTCCTTACATCCATGCCAGTTGAAACATTTAGAAGGATGACGTACCAGATATTTTCCTCATTTCTTCATATGAAAGCCAAAACACTAGTGACCATGGTGCCTGTTGGTACAAAATACAAATGTAAGCATATTACAAACATTTAAAAACATAAATTATTTATAAAAAAAAAAAAACCTGGAAAGACAATAGATACCAAATTAGATAATATATATATATACATGGTGAGAATAAAAATTGAAACAAGAGAGATTAGATGAGATAATATACAGATGTGTGAGTGTAGAGATGATAAAGACACCAGCCGAGATGAGATACACATGTGTGAGTGTAGAGATTAGAAAGAGACACTACCTCAGATGAAATACAGATGTGTGAGTGTAGAGATTAGAAGAGACACTACCTCAGATGAGATACACATGTGTGAGTGTAGAGATTAGAAGAGACACTACCTCAGATGAAATACAGATGTGTGAGTGTAGAGATTAGAAGAGACACCAGCTCAGATGAAATACAGATGTGTGAGTGTAGAGATTAGAAGAGACACTACCTCAGATGAAATACAGATGTGTGAGTGTAGAGATTAGAAGAGACACCAGCTGAGATGAGATACACATGTGTGAGTGTAGAGATTAGAAGAGACACCAGCTGAGATAATATACACATGTGTAAGTACAGAGATTTGAAAAACTGACACCTGTAAAGATAATATACAGATGTGTAAGTATAAAGATTAGAACAACAGAGACCAATTGAGATAATATAAATTTAGAATAACAAAGAAAATGTGAGTCCTTTTTTTTTTAATGGAACGACAGAGATACTCTAAGGGAAGACCATTCAGCCTGTGGGATAAACCTGGCTAGTGGAGGTCTAGATACTCTAAGGGAAGACCATTCAGCCTGTGGGATAAACCTGGCTAGTGGAGGTCTAGATACTCTAAGGGAAGACCATTCAGCCTGTGGGATAAACTTGGCTAGTGGAGGTCTTGATACTCTAAGGGAAGACTATTCAGCCTGTGGGATAAACCTGGCTAGTGGAGGTCTAGATACTCTAAGGGAAGACCATTCAGCCTGTGGGATAAACCTGGCTAGTGGAGGTGTAGATACTCTAAGGGAAGACCGTTCAGCCTGTGGGATAAACCTGGCTAGTGGAGGTCTAGCAAATGTCCCGCAGATCTTACTTCCTGTGCAGCTCTAACAAGTGAACTACAGATCTTACTGCCTGTAGAGCTCTAACAAGTGAACTACAGATCTCACTTCCTGTAGAGCTCTAACAAGTGAACTACAGATCTCACTGCCTGTGAAGCTCTAACAAGTGAACTACAGATCTCACTGCCTGTAGAGCTCTAACAAGTGAACTAAAGATCTCACTGCCTGTGAAGCTCTAACAAGTGAACTACAGATCTCACTGCCTGTAGAGCTCTAACAAGTGGCCTATAGATCTCACTGCCTGTGGAGCTCTAACAAGTGAACTACAGATCTCACTGCCTGTAGAGCTCTAACAAGTGAACTACAGATCTCACTGCCTGTAGAGCTCTAACAAGTGGCCTATAGATCTCACTGCCTGTAGAGCTCTAACAAGTGAACTACAGATCTTACTGCCTGTAGAGCTCTAACAAGTGGCCTATTGATCTCACTGCCTGTAGAGCTCTAACAAGTGAACTACAGATCTCACTGCCTGTAGAGCTCTAACAAGTGAACTAAAGATCTCACTGCCTGTAGAGCTCTAACAAGTGAACTACAGATCTTACTGCCTGTAGAGCTCTAGCAAGTGAACTACTGATCTCACTGCCTGTAGAGCTCTAACAAGTGAACTACAGATCTCACTGCCTGTAAAGCTCTAACAAGTGAACTACAGATCTCACTGCCTGTGAAGCTCTAACGAGGACTACAAATCTCACTGCCTGTAGAGCTCTAGCAAGAGGCCCACAGATCTCACTTCCTGTGGAGCTATAGCAAGAGGCCCACAGATCTCACTTCATGTGGAGCTCTAGTCAATGGCCCACAAATCTCACTGCCTGTAGAGCTCTAGCAAGTGGCCTACAGATCTCACTTCCTGTAGAGCTCTAGCAAGTGGTCTACAGATCTCACTGCATGTAGAGCTCTAGCAAGTGGCCTACAGATCTCACTGCCTGTGGAGCTCTAGTCAATGGCCCACAGATCTCACTTCCTGTGGAGCTCTAGCAAGTGGCCCACAGATCTCACTTCCTGTGGAGCTCTAGTCAATGGCCCACAGATCTCACCTCCTGTGGAGCTCTAGTCAATGGCCCACAGATCTCACTTCTTTTGGAGCTCTAGTCAATGGCCCACAGATCTCACTGCCTGTGGAGCTCTAGTCAATGGCCCACAGATCTCACTTCCTGTGGAGCTCTAGTCAATGGCCCACAGATCTCACTGCCTGTGGAGCTCTAGCAAGAGGATTACAGATCTCATTTCCTGTGGAGCTCTAGCAAGTGGACTACAGATCTCACTTCCTGTGGAGCTCTAGCAAGTGGCCTACAGATCTCACTTCCTGTGGAGCTCTAGCAAGAGGACTATAGATCTCACTTCCTGTGGAGCTCTAGCAAGAGGACCATAGATCTCACTTCCTGTGGAGCTCTAGCAAGTGGCCTACAGATCTCACTTTTCTGTGGAGCTCTAGCAAGTGGCCTACAGATCTCACTGCCTGTAGAGCTCTAGCAAGTGGCCTTCAGATCTCACTGCCTGTAGAGCTATAGCACTACAGGACTACAGATCTCACTTCCTGTGGAGCTCTAGTCAATGGCCCACAGATCTCACTGCCTGTGAAGTTCTAGTCAATGGCCCACTGATCTCACTTCCTGTGGAGCTCTAGTCAATGGTCCACAGACCTCACTGCCTGTGGAGCTCTAGTCAATGGCCCACAGATCTCACTGCCTGTGGAGCTCTAGCAAGAGGACTACAGATCTCACTTCCTGTGAAGCTCTAGCAAGAGGACTATAGATCTCACTGCCTGTGGAGCTCTAGCAAGAGGACTATAGATCTCACTGCCTGTGGAGCTCTAGCAAGAGGACTATAGATCTCACTTCCTGTGGAGCTCTAGCAAGTGGCTCACAGATCTAACTGCCTGTGGAGCTCTAACAAGTGGCCTATTGATCTCACTGCCTGTAGAGCTCTAACAAGTGAACTACAGATCTCACTGCCTGTAGAGCTCTAACAAGTGAACTAAAGATCTCACTGCCTGTAGAGCTCTAACAAGTGAACTACAGATCTTACTGCCTGTAGAGCTCTAGCAAGTGAACTACAGATCTCACTGCCTGTAGAGCTCTAACAAGTGAACTACAGATCTCACTGCCTGTAAAGCTCTAACAAGTGAACTACAGATCTCACTGCCTGTGAAGCTCTAACGAGGACTACAAATCTCACTGCCTGTAGAGCTCTAGCAAGAGGCCCACAGATCTCACTTTCTGTGGAGCTATAGCAAGAGGCCCACAGATCTCACTTCCTGTGGAGCTCTAGTCAATGGCCCACAAATCTCACTGCCTGTAGAGCTCTAGCAAGTGGCCTACAGATCTCACTTCCTGTAGAGCTCTAGCAAGTGGTCTACAGATCTCACTGCCTGTAGAGCTCTAGCAAGAGGCCCACAGATCTCACTTCCTGTGGAGCTATAGCAAGAGGCCCACAGATCTCACTTCCTGTGGAGCTCTAGTCAAGAGGACATAATCTCACTGCCTGTAGAGCTCTAGCAAGTGGACTACAGATCTCACTTCCTGTAGAGCTCTAGCAAGTGGTCTACAGATCTCACTGCCTGTAGAGCTCTAGCAAGTGGCCTATAGATCTCACTGCCTGTGGAGCTCTAGCAAGTCAATGGCCCACAGATCTCACTTCCTGTGGAGCTCTAGCAAGTGGCCCACAGATCTCACTTCCTGTGAGCTCTAGCAAGTGGCCCACAGATCTCACTTCCTGTGGAGCTCTAGCAAGAGGCCCACAGATCTCTCTCACTTCCTGTGGAGCTCTAGTCAGATGGCCTACAGATCTCACTGCCTGTGGAGCTCTAGTCAATGGCCCACAGATCTCACTTCCTGTGGAGCTCTAGCAAGAGGACTACAGATCTCACTTCCTGTGGAGCTCTAGCAAGAGGACTACAGATCTCACTTCCTGTGGAGCTCTAGCAAGAGGACTATAGATCTCACTTCCTGTGGAGCTCTAGCAAGAGGACTATAGATCTCACTTCCTGTGGAGCTCTAGCAAGAGGACTATAGATCTCACTTCCTGTGGAGCTCTAGCAAGAGGACTATAGATCTCACTGTCCTGTGCTGAGCTCCATGCCAGTGGCAACAATACTGATCAAGAATTTCTCTCGTCATCCTCTATCCCTTCTTCCACATATCTTTCCAGTGATCACCACATGTTTTCTGTGGAGCTCTAGCATAGTCCTCACTGCCTGTAGAGCTCATTTTCCCTCTTCTCACTACCATGGCTATAAACATGATGACTGTCTCACTTCTGATGTTTGTGATTAGTTGTCTTCAGGCTCCCTGCTCTTTCAAAACCTCTCAATGGTTGCTGTGTTTTCCTGTGTGTGGGCTAGTCAAAGGTCCACAGACCTCACTGCATGTGGAGCTCTACAAAACCACATCTCTGACTGCTCAGGAATTAAAAAAAAAGGAAAACAGATCTCACTTCCTTGATGTTCTAGCAAGAGGACTTTAGATCTCACTTCCTGAAAGAGTTCAGAGCAAGTTGAACTACAGATCTCACTATCCTGTGGATTTTAGCAATTACAGATCTCCTTCATGTGGGAGACCCTAGCAAGAGGATATAGATCGCACTTCCTTCAGCTCTAGCAAGAGGACCATAGATCTCTTAACCTAGTCATGTACCACAGATCACTGCCTGTATTCTAGTCAATTCCACAGATTCACTGCCTTGGAGCTTATTCAATGGCCCAACAGATCTCACTGCCTGTGGAAGCAAGAGGACTACAGATCCTCACTTCCTGTGAACTCTAGCAAGAGGACTATAATCACTGCCTAGCTCTAGCAGAGGAATAGATGCACTGCCTGTGGAATTCTAGCAAGAGGACTTAAGATCTCACTTCCTGTGGAGCTCTTCAAGTTCAATGTAATTTAAACTGCCTGTGGACCTTCTAGCATTGGACTACCACGTCTAGCGATCTCCTAAAATTTGATTTGTGTGCTGGCAAAGACACCCTGAAAGAAAGTCAAAAATTTTCTCTCATCTGTGTCATCCTCTATCCCTTCTTCCACATATATATTCCAGTGGGTCACCACATATTTCATTTTCCATCTTCTCATACATGAAAAAATGATGACTGTCTCCTTCTGATATTAGTACATACTCTTTCAAAACCTACTTGGTTGCTATGTTTTTTTTTTGTATATGTCCAATATATATTTAGCATATATATACAAAACAACATATATACATATATCAGGATAAATAAAAAAATACATATATATACCGATATATATACATATATATAGTTATATCTTTAATGAGATTCATGAAAGTGTTCAGATGAATTTGAAATTACATCCTTTTTATTTTTAAAAATTCTCTCCATCATGGATGACCCTCCCTGAAGATATATATCGCAGCGTTCAAAGATTTCTTAACCTTCATGTACAAAATCAGAATTATTGCATTTCAGATTACTCATTTATTTGGACGGAACTAAGCAGCCCTTAGGAACACTTATTGGTTCTTAATCAAAACATAGCCAAACAGGAAGAATGCAGCCAAATTCGCACTTAAATATCATTCGCTTGGCCGTTCGTTCAATGTAATTTAAACGCACCTTCATATTCTCGTTATATATATAAAATACATATATGGGCAAAGACACCCTGATAGATAAAAAAATGCATATATATATATATATATATATATATATATATATATATATATATATATATATATATATATATATATATATATATATTTTTTTTTTTTTTAGTATCAAGAAGCCATGAGTTGTTAACCCTTAGGCTAGGTATTATGGATATCGCAACCTTTCGGCCTTGATTCTATTGTAAATACCGTAAATATGGGAGAAAATGTGGCTTTCCTGCCTACCCCCGGGACTGAACCCGGACCACAAGGTGTTTGTCACCCGGTCTCCTCGCAATCCGGTTTAGCCAACTAGGCACGCACGTGCGCGCACACACACACACACAAAGCAACATAAAAGAACGCATTGCCTTCAAATATAAGTGCTTACTTGACGAGGCTAACAGTTACTATTGTACAGACCACATTTTCCACTTTGAAATTTCAGCCAAAATGTAATCACAACCTGACTTATCCGCTGCACCTTCATGAATACAGATGGAAGATCGTCGCACCTCGAGATAAATACAAAGACAATTTTTAGCATGCTACGGTTGGCATTTTATGCTTTGAGTGTTCAACAAGGACAAAACTCTTCTGGACAGTGGCCAGGAAAGACAATTTAAATTTTAACTTTTAAGTATCTTTATGCCTTCTTTAATAATGTCAGAATTATTAGCTGACTTTTCTTGAGTTATGCCGTGGCATCACTGACATTCGCATGTAGTTTGAGAACCTCTGCTGTCATGCCTCAGTTGTTTCAGCAGGCAAAGACCTTGCCAGATGCTGTACCACGCAACCGGGTTGCAGTTTTCCCCGCTACGACAGACTTGGGCAACAGAAACTTTTGTGTTAATGAGAGAGTTATTTCAGTCCATCACAGTGTATACAGAAATGTTTGTAAGGTAACCACTATTCGTATTCGGCCCAACCGCAAGTATTTTGCAGAATACCGAATAGTTATTAGGTCCACTATTCGGCCGCCGAAGCAAATACGAAGCAAATATTCAGTACAGCCCTAGAAGATATATGTAAAATATGATGAAAACAAAAGAGAAAAGCTGAGATAATACAAGACCGGAGTGTGTAACAACAGGTTGGAATGACACAATCATGGAATAAGATAACAGTCTGACATAATATAAGATTAGAGAGAATAAGGCCGGACAGTTTTATAAAATATATGAACAGAAAGTAAAATATCAGCAAGACATGTTTGAGGGTTATGCAGAATCTGATCATGTACAACACAGGAGTCAACCTGACTGTCAGAAAATAAACATACAAAAAAACAAAAAACCATAACAGACACAAACTATATTAAATATAGTCTGGTACTTATGGAAATTCTGATAACCAAGCTGTATGTGGTCATTCTAGTAGTATGTGGACATTCTAGTGGTATGTGTACATTTTAGCGGTATGTGTACATTCTAGAGTTATGCGTACTTTCTAGTGGTGTGTGGAAATTCTAGCAGTATGTTGATATTCTAGCTGTATTCGGACATTTTTAAGAAGTTGAGAAATATTGACATCTTAAAAGATCTGAACATCAAGAAAGATTGGCTAATAAACAGCATCCTTTCTCGAAAGCTGAAATATTTTGGTCATATCAAGTGCCACGACGGATTGAAAAAAATTATAGCAGAAGGCATGGTACCAGGAAGGAGGGGCAGGGGCCGGCCGACACGAAGATGGGCACAGGATATAAGTGACTCCCTGAGTGTGAAAGTTCATGAGGCAGGAGAACTGGCAAGAGACAGAGTTTCTTACAGGCAGACTGTGATGAGAGCAACGTTCTGCAAAGGACCTGCTACATGATGATGATGATGATGTGGACATTTTAGCTGTATGCAGACATTCTAATGGTATGTGGATATTCTAGCTGTATGAACATTCTTTTTATAAGTGGACTTTCTAGCTGTATGTGGAAATTATTTCAATAAGTGGATATTCTAGTGGTGTGTGGACTTTTTAGCTGTATGTGGACATATAGATTACTGTAGTGAACAATTTTCTCCTTAAGTTATGTTACAGAAAGAATGATGTCAGGTAATAAATATAAATGAGATATTTAAATGTAACGAGTGCAAAGCTGAGATGCACGGGGAAAATGTTGGCCAAATGAAACCTGTGTGAATTGGAGAACACGAGAAAGTCGTATGTGGGCGTAATTATAATGTGGGCGGTAGAAGATTATATAATGCCTTAGAAAGAGCATGTGGACAGATTCGTTTATGCACAGAGAGCGGAGAAGTATGTCTATGTGTCTGATGTATTAGTAAAGTTTATAACGCCTACCTGGCCAGGCAGCAAGGACTGATGGAAACCATCTACCAGCTGATTGTGTGTGTTCACCGTCATGGAGAACAGTGGTTTTTGCTCAATTTCTGTTGTGTAATGGTCGTTTGTATTTCCCATCAGTGAAGGTAAAGTTGATCCTAGTTAATTGATCTTAAGACATGAGTACCTAGACATTTCACCTCACCATGTACCGGCTGGAGAAACAGCGAGTGGAGAAAAAAGAGTGAAACCGCATTGTATCGTTCACTGTTCTCCATTTTTTACTCATGGTGTTGACTGTCAGTGCACGAATGAGGAGTCTGCAAGTGACTGGAGCCAAAGTGAATAAGAACAGAGTCATTGCAATTACCATTCTTGTCCATATTGGTAGCAGCCCTTTGTAGAGTGAGAGGAAGCCTTCCTGTCGGACAGTTTTCAACAGACAGTCCACCGATCCTGAGTACAGCAGACCCCTGAAACAGGGACAGCAAACAATGGTGGTCAATGTTACTAATGTTTATACATGTCTGTAAGACTCCTTACTAATGTTTACACATGTCTGTCAGTCTCCTTACCAATGTTTACACATGTATGTCAGTCTCCTTACCAATGTTTACACATGTCTGTCAGTCTCCTTACCAATGTTTATACATGTCTGTCAGTCTCCTTACCAATGTTTACACATGTCTGTCAGTCTCCTTACCAATGTTTATACATGTCTGTAAGACTCCTTACTAATGTTTACACATGTCTGTCAGTCTCCTTACCAATGTTTACACATGTCTGTCAGTCTCCTGACCAATGTTTATACTTGTCTGTCAGTCTCCTTACCAATGTTTACACATGTCTGTCAGTCTCCTTATCAATGTTTACACATGTATGTCAGTCTCCTTACCAATGTTTACAAATGTTTGTCAGTCTCCTTACCAATGTTTATACATGTCTGTAAGTCTCCTTACCAATGTTTATACATGTCTGTAAGTCTCATTACCAATGTTTATACATGTCTGTAAGTCTCCGTACCAATGTTTATACATGACTGTACGTTTCCTTACCAATGTTTATACATGTCTGTAAGTTTCCTTACCAATGTTTATACATGTCTGTAAGTTTCCTTACCAATGTTTACACATGTGTGTAAGTTGTCTTACCAATGTTTATACATGTCTGTAAAAATCCTTACCTATGTTTATACATGTCTGTCAGTCTCCTTACCAATGTTTACACATGTCTGTCAGTCTCCTTACCAATGTTTATACATGTCTGTAAGACTCCTTACTAATGTTTACACATGTCTGTCAGTCTCCTTACCAATGTTTACACATGTCTGTCAGTCTCCTTACCAATGTTTACACATGTCTGTCAGTCTCCCTATCAATGTTTACACATGTATGTTAGTCTTTTTACCAATGTTTACACATGTCTGTCAGTCTCCTTACCAATGTTTATACATGTCTGTAAGTCTCCTTACCAATGTTTATACATGTCTGTCAGACTCCTTACCAATGTTTACACATGTCTGTCAGTCTCCTTACCAATGTTTATACATGTCTGTAAGACTCCTTACTAATGTTTATACATGTCTGTCAGTCTCCTTACTAATGTTTACACATGTCTGTCAGTCTCCTTACCAATGTTTACACATGTATGTCAGTCTCCTTACCAATGTTTACACATGTCTGTCAGTCTCCTTACCAATGTTTATACATGTCTGTCAGTCTCCTTACCAATGTTTACACATGTCTGTCAGTCTCCCTATCAATGTTTACACATGTATGTTAGTCTTTTTACCAATGTTTACACATGTCTGTCAGTCTCCTTACCAATGTTTATACATGTCTGTAAGTCTCCTTACCAATGTTTATACATGTCTGTCAGACTCCTTACCAATGTTTACACATGTGTGTAAGTCTCCTTACCAATGTTTATACATGTCTGTACGTTTCCTTACCAATGTTTATACATGTCTGTACGTTTCCTTACCAATGTTTATACATGTCTGTAAGTTTCCTTACCAATGTTTATACATGTCTGTACGTTTCCTTACCAATGTTTATACATGACTGGACGTTTCCTTACCAATGTTTATACATGACTGTACGTTTCCTTACCAATGTTTATACATGTCTGTAAAAATCCTTACCTATGTTTATACATGTCTGTAAGTCTCCTTACCAATGTTTATACATGTCTGTAAGTCTCCTTACCAATGTTTATACATGTCTGTAAAAATCCTTACCTATGTTTATACATGTCTGTAAGTCTCCTTACCAATGTTTATACATGTCTGTCAGTCTCCTTACCAATGTTTATACATGTCTGTACGTTTCCTTACCAATGTTTATACATGTCTGTACGTTTCCTTACCAATGTTTATACATGTCTGTACGTTTCCTTACCAATGTTTATACATGTCTGTAAGTTTCCTTACCAATGTTTATACATGTCTGTACGTTTCCTTACCAATGTTTATACATGTCTGTAAGTTTCCTTACCAATGTTTATACATGTCTGTACGTTTCCTTACCAATGTTTATACATGTCTGTAAGTTTCCTTACCAATGTTTATACATGTCTGTCCGTTTCCTTACCAATGTTTATACATGCCTGTAAGTTTCCTTACCAATGTTTATACATGACTGTACGTTTCCTTACCAATGTTTATACATGACTGTACGTTTCCTTACCAATGTTTATACATGACTGTACGTTTCCTTACCAATGTTTATACATGTCTGTAAAAATCCTTACCTATGTTTATACATGTCTGTAAGTCTCCTTACCAATGTTTATACATGTCTGTAAGTCTCCTTACCAATGTTTATACATGTCTGTAAAAATCCTTACCTATGTTTATACATGTCTGTCAGTCTCCTTACCAATGTTTATACATGTCTGTAAGTCTCCTTACCAATGTTTATACATGATTGTCAGTCTCCTTACCTATGTTTATACATGTTGTAAGTCTCATTACCAATGTTTATACATGTTGTAAGTCCACTTACCAATGTTTATACATGTTGTAAGTCTCATTACCAATGTTTATACATGTTGTAAGTCCACTTACCAATGTTTATACATGTTGTAAGTCTCATTACCAATGTTTATACATGTTGTAAGTCCACTTACCAATGTTTATACATGTTGTAAGTCTCATTACCAATGTTTATACATGTTGTAAGTCTCATTACCAATGTTTATACATGTTGTAAGTCCACTTACCAATGTTTATACATGTTGTAAGTCTCATTACCAATGTTTATACATGTTGTAAGTCTCATTACCAATGTTTATACATGTTGTAAGTCTCATTACCAATGTTTATACATGTTGTAAGTCTCATTACCAATGTTTATACATGTTGTAAGTCTCATTACCAATGTTTATACATGTTGTAAGTCTCATTACCAATGTTTATACATGTTGTAAGTCTCATTACCAATGTTTATACATGTTGTAAGTCTCATTACCAATGTTTATACATGTTGTAAGTCTCATTACCAATGTTTATACATGTTGTAAGTCTCATTACCAATGTTTATACATGTTGTAAGTCTCATTACCAATGTTTATACATGTTGTAAGTCTCATTACCAATGTTTATACATGTTGTAAGTCTCATTACCAATGTTTATACATGTTGTAAGTCTCATTACCAATGTTTATACATGTTGTAAGTCTCATTACCAATGTTTATACATGTTGTAAGTCCACTTACCAATGTTTATACATGTTGTAAGTCTCATTACCAATGTTTATACATGTTGTAAGTCTCATTACCAATGTTTATACATGTTGTAAGTCTCATTACCAATGTTTATACATGTTGTAAGTCTCATTACCAATGTTTATACATGTTGTAAGTCCACTTACCAATGTTTATACATGTTGTAAGTCTCATTACCAATGTTTATACATGTTGTAAGTCCACTTACCAATGTTTATACATGTCTGTAAGTCTCCGTACCAATGTTTATACATGTTGTAAGTCTCATTACCAATGTTTATACATGTTGTAAGTCTCATTACCAATGTTTATACATGTTGTAAGTCTCATTACCAATGTTTATACATGTTGTAAGTCCACTTACCAATGTTTATACATGTTGTAAGTCTCATTACCAATGTTTATACATGTTGTAAGTCTCCTTACCAATGTTTATACATGATTGTCAGTCTCCTTACCTATGTTTATACATGTTGTAAGTCTCATTACCAATGTTTATACATGTTGTAAGTCCACTTACCAATGTTTATACATGTCTGTAAGTCTCCGTACCAATGTTTATACATGTCTGTTAACACAGACAATGATAGCATTTTATATCTGGACACAAGAGTGACATCAGAAGACAACTCAACCAGTTTTTCTTTATTCATGATGATCGAGTGCACATAATTTTAAATCTTCCACAAAGCAATTACACTAGTCAACAACCGAAGTGTACCAGCCATGAAAATAGCTGATTGTTACTAATTCTGGTGTGCTAAAAAAATGACATTAAAAAATATTGACTGTTATGGGCAACTGTAGAATTTTTTTCTAATGATCACATACAAATGTAAGTAGAAGTTGTAGTTATGAGGACACCAAGTGTGTGTATAAATATTTGATCTCAGAAATTATTGTGCTATTAGTTAGTGCATTTGTCCTTATTTAAACTCTCTTAGGCAGGCCTAGAACATGTGTACATAGTGCTACAAATTTAAGTTATATATATGGTGAGGTCACATTTCTTTCCGAAAAAAAAAATTAAATATAACTTAGGTGTGAAATTGTGGTGAGATAATGGTGAGATATGTGAGACACTGGTGAGACATGCATGAGATAGTAGTGAGATATGAGAGATATTAGTCACGCACGCATGAGATATTGGTTAGAAATGGGTAAGCCAGTAGTGTGATGAGTGTGACAGTGGTGAGATACAGGTGAGACTGACTGACTGACTTTCTACCCCACTAGGACATCACACAAGCGATAAACACCCGATGACACAAAGTGCCTCCATGTGGATGCGGATTGCCGTGGAGAGGTCCCAGAAACCGCGTTCAGACAATTGGCCATATTTATGGCCTGCCTATATTGCTGCCCCTGGCAAAAGCCAGGGTGGGGCTTCAAATAACAAAAAATGTCATCCTAAAAAGGACGATGCTGGGCAATAATAACGGGTGAGATAGTGGTTAGATATGTTGGATAGAGGTGATGTATTGTTGAGATAGGGGTGAGATATGTTGGATAGGGGTGATGTATTGTTGAGATAGGGGTGAGATATGCGTGAGTTAGTTATGAGATATGTGTGAGTCTGATGTGAGCCGGGGATGTTTGGACAACTGTGTTAGAAATTACAGCCTAGGAAGGGTAACTGTGAGAGAGAGGAAAGCCAAGGGGGGACAAGTGTGTCAGAGAGGACAGCCTAGGGAAGACAAGTGTGTCAGAGAGGAAAGCCAAGGGGGGACAAGTGTGTCAGAGAGGACAGCCAAGGGGGGACAAGTGTGTCAGAGAGGACAGCCTAGGGAAGACAAGTGTGTCAGAGAGGACAGCCTAGGGAAGACAAGTGTGTCAGAGAGGACAGCCTAGGGAAAACAGGTGTTAGAGAGGACAGCCTAGGGGAAACAGGTGTTAAAGAGGACAGCCTAGGGGAAACAGGTGTTAGAGAGCGCAACCTAGGGGAAACAGGTGTTAGAGAGCACAACCTAGGGAAGACAGGTGTTAGAGAGGACAGCCTAGGGGAAACAGGTGTTAGAGAGGACAGCCTAGAGAAGGCAACTGTGCGAGAGAGGACAGCCTAGGGGAAACAGGTGTTAGAGAGCACAACCTAGGGAAGACAGGTGTTAGAGAGGACAGCCTAGGGGAAACAGGTGTTAGAGAGGACAGCCTAGAGAAGGCAACTGTGCGAGAGAGGACAGCCTAGGGTAAACAGGTGTTAGAGAGCGCAACCTAGGGGAAACAGGTGTTAGAGAGGACAGCCTAGGGGAAACAGGTGTTAGAGAGGACAGCCTAGGGAAAACAGGTGTTAGAGAGGACAGCCTAGGGGAAACAGGTGTTAGAGAGGACAGCCTAGGGGAAACAGGTGTTAGGACAGCCTAGGGGAAACAGGTGTTAGGACAGCCTAGGGGAAACAGGTGTTAGGACAGCCTAGGGGAAACAGGTGTTAGAGAGGACAGCCTAGGGGAAACAGGTGTTAGAGAGGACAGCCTAGGGGAAACAGGTGTTAGGACAGTCTAGAGGAAACAGGTCTTAGAGAGGACAGCCTAGAGGAAACAGGTCTTAGAGAGGACAGCCTAGAGGAAACAGGTGTTAGAGAGGACAGCCTAGGGGAAACAGGTGTTAGAGAGGACAGCCTAGGGGAAACAGGTGTTAGAGAGGACAGCCTAGGGGAAACAGGTGTTAGAGAGGACAGCCTAGGGGAAACAGGTGTTAGAGAGGACAGCCTAGGGGAAACAGGTGTTAGAGAGGACAGCCTAGAGAAGGCAACTGTGCGAGAGAGGACAGCCTAAGGAGACAAGTGTACTCCTTACTTGCCATCTTTAGTGGGCTGGTTCATGACTCTAGATTTGATGACATCAGCAGGTGTCCCCATGAGAGCCGCAACCAGTCCAGAGCAGGCACTGTCAACATAACAAACCAAAAATATATAATCTGTCTGTCAACATGGCAGACCATACATTATCTGTCTATCAACATGACAGACAATAATATATGTCTGTTAACAGGGTGGACAATATCCTATATCTGTCAACATTATCCATCTGTCAACTTAACAGACAATGCCTCATGTCCGTCAACAAGGCAGACAATATTTTATATCAGTATCAGTTATGTCCCTCATGCACACATCGTTATATCATTGTAGAGGCCGGCCTCAAAATAAATCTGCTACCCATCTGTAATTCATCACAGAGGGTGTCCTTTACCATCCTTCATCCTCCAGGTGTGACCCAGCCACTTGAGCCTTCGTAGACTGAGAGTGTGTCCTTTACCATCCTTCATCCTCCAGGTGTGACCCAGCCACTTGAGCCTTCGTAGACTGAGAGTGTGTCCTTTACCATCCTTCATCCTCCAGGTGTGACCCAGCCACTTGAGCCTTCGTAGACTGAGAGTGTGTCCTTTACTATCCTTCATCCTCCAGGTGTGACCCAGCCACTTGAGCCTTCGTAGACTGAGCACAGAGAAAATCTGTTACCTGCTCTTTCCAATATCTCACTGTTAATTTTTGTGGTTTTCTGACTGCTGCATGAAAGTTCAATCTTAGTTTTTCAAACACTCTCGTCAGTATGGAAGTAATACAATTATAAACAAGCCTGTGAAACTTCATTACAATCTGCAAAAAGGTTTTTTTTTTTTTTTTTTAGGAATAACGTTTCCAAGTTTTTAAAAAAAAGGGGAAAATGAGAAAACGGAGAAAAAAGGAAATTTTACATGTTATTTCACACTGAAAAAACAGTTTCTGATATAACATGATCATTAAAACAATCCTGCTGCATATGCAGGACCTACTAGAGCAATTTAGTTCATCTTGCCTCTTCAGTTTGGCAGCTCGTACACTGTCCTGTCTCTTAATTTTCTTGTCCTTCTTATGCTTCAAGCTATTTCTAACTCTCATCTCCGTCCTAGACACTCCTAGTCTTTTCATATACAGGCCTGTAGAAAATCAAAAAAAACTGGGCAATGTCTTAAGAAGCAACAGCACCAAATTTGAACTCTCTTGATGCAGTTACTACTGCAAACTGAATGAGCTTGCGTGAGGCAAACTTGTCTTTAGCCCAGATCAGTCTGTGTAAACACTTTTTTCTACTAAGTAGTTTAGGGTCAGACATTCTTTCATAAATTGGCAAAAGATACTTGTGTAGCTTGTCACAGTTGTGAGTAACACCTTGTCATGGGGACCTGGGGACTGATGCTTAGCCAGGGCACACTGAAAAAAACACCAAGATTGCTCACCACTTGGGCACATTTCATGGCATGGAGTTTTGTCTGTTGAAAAACAGTGATGCAGTAAAGCCATAACACTGTCCTTATGGACTCTACACTTGTGTTGTTTCATATTGCTCTGTTGTAATAAATTATCAGCTTACGGTTGGCATTTTGTGTTAGCTGACCTTTCCCAAGTCCTCCTAGGGTCACCCTTGCTTTCGGCAGTCAGCAACAACATTAGGGAGTACTGTTCCAAGGTGTTTTGGCATCACCATCAGAAAGTATTGATGTATAATGAAGCTTATGACAGGCCACAGCACTCGTGCAGCCTCCACATCCTGTGGTCTGCCTTCCATGCTTCAAATTGAGCTGATTTGGATTTGGAAACTCTCTTACCAGTGGTTTCACACACTTAACAATATGTGGACATAACATGCACATCTATGCAAGGTCAGTAAGTACATCCACTGCACAGCCAACCATAAGTAGGATTTGTGGTCTCTCGTCAGCCAAGTGCCATCAAAGCTGACAGTAATATCCAGCACATCATTGTCATGTCAGGCCGTGTTAGCGCAGTCGATAAGAGGCTCGCTTTCAAATCCAGCTGCGACTCGCTGCAGCCCATGGTCAGTGTTTGAAACCAGGAAATGGGTACCAGAGTTGACGCTCTGGGGTAAATGGAGGGACTTCGCTGTAGCTACAGAGTTACATGCGAACGGCGACACAGGCGGACAATTCATATCAGCTGTCCGTACTGGTGGCAGAGCACTTATTGTTTATAACCGTGTGCAATGACGCTGGATCACATCTGCCGACTTTACCATGACAGTTTTATTGTCATATAGAGTGATGCCTGACTGCTGTGCATGGACTCGACGAACATTCTTCACGGTTTGAAAGAAAACTATGTCCTCCAGATCTCCTAACTTTGAATACAATTTACTTGCTTTCTTGTGAAATATTTTGTGATAAAGATCCCACAAATTATTGAACATTTCCACAAACTAATGCAGAATAAACAAACCAGTTGTTGATAGCAAAAGATCTATTCCCATCATTACTTCTTGAAGCTAGGTATCTTCCAGTAACTACTTCTTCACAACAAGAGCAGTAAACTTCTGCAATCACAACTAATCCTTGAGTTTTCATGCTGTCAGTTTTCAAAATAAGACAAATATTTTTACACAGTGGACAACACAACGTTCTGATGATTTCGTCAATTTCACAAAAGTCAACTACTCTTCTGTACTCCAGTTTTTTTATGTCCACTTTTATCAATAGAAACACACAAGCTGCTAGAGGAGGTCATATATTCCTACATATCTCATTTAAACTGGCTTCAGGTTTTTTCAGCAAGAACAGTGTCACTTCTACAACTTTGAGAACTATAACTAAAACACGATGGTACAGAATCACTGATTGCCAAAATCTCAGTGACCCTAGAAATATAAACATCGACAAGCTGTGTCAGTTGTGTCACATTCTGAATTTTCTGTAATGCTAACGACGCTCTGGTAGACTTTTGTTTGCTTACAAGCATTTGCCAATTGTAGACTTCGAGATTTCTTACACTGATCAGCTAAGTGCAGTGGAAATATTTTAGACATAGGCATTTTTCGATTCACAGCTGTTATGCCATTTCTGGGTAAAAAATTGACCACAGCGGCCTTCTTTGAGAATCGGACACCCATGTGATCAGTTTCAGCCAGCAGGAATGGCTCATCCTGACTGAGATGATGTTTATACCCATATTTGGAAGTTTCCGGACATTTATAGGGGTCAATAAATCGGCCGTTGATGGAAAACATAAAATTCCATATTCAGGATTCCTGCCGAATAGGAAATAATTCCGGTTTCAACGATACATAATACATACAGCTATTTCCTTCTGCATATAGCAATGCCAAGGGCGAAACATCGCTTATTTCGCTAAAAATTTCAATAAACAAATAATTTCACAGCTAGGGTTAGCTCAATAAAATATTAATTTTGCATTAAAATAAGATATTTTAGATAAAAACAAATACTGTCTGACAGAAGACATACTAAAGTGTGTAAAAACGAACTTTGCCAAAATTGTCGACCTGATATTTTGAGACCCTCACATTGCCTTAAACAATAATGATAAACTATTCTTAAACAACAATGATGATGAACTATACTTCCACAAAGATAATGATTGACAATGACAATAAACGGCAACCAACTGACAACCTGGCTAGTGTGTGTGTGACATGATTGTCTTCTAAACCTGTCCTGGACAATATTGCATGCTTGGCTGTGTCATAGGTTGCCAAATCTAAACATAAAGAAAAAAAAAAACATGGTTATAAGTTGACAGTTGATGACAATATAGATCAGAACACATTCATAACAAACACAGATAGATTTAACAACAGCAGTCAACGAAAAACAAAAACAGAAACGATGACAGAAAGATATAAGAAAAACAAATCAAAGAGCAATAATAACAGAGAGATATGACAAAAAATATCAAAGAACAACAATACAAGAGAGATGTAACAAAAAACAATCAAAGAATAATAATAACAGATATGGACAATTTTTAAAAATCACACAACAACAATAACTGAGATGAAACCAAAATAATTAAATAACAATACCAGAGAGTTCACAAGATCTCACAACCCTGTATTGATCTCACAACACTATCCAGGTCTCACAATACTATCCAGGTCTCACAACACTGTATAGATCTCACAACGCTATACTGATCTCACCAAAATGTATTGACCTCACAACACTATACAGATCTCACAACACTATACTGATCTCTTAACACTGTATACATCTTAGAACACTGTATAGATCTTAGAACACTATATAGATCTTAGAACACTGTATAGATCTTAGTACACTGTATAGATCTTAGAACACTGTATAGATCTCACAATACTGTACAGATCTCAAAACTCTATCCAAATCTCACAACACTGCATAGATCTCACAACAATCTATAGATCTCACAACAATGTACAGATCTCACAACACTGTAATGATCTCACAACACTGTATAGATCTCACAACACTATATTGATCTCACAACACTGCATTGATCTCACAACTCTGTATAGATCTCACAACTCTGTATAGATCTCACAACACAGTATTGATTTCACAACACTTAATTGATCTCACAACATTATATTGATCTCACAACATTATATTGATCTCACAACACTGTATTGATCTCACAACACTGTATTGATCTCACAACACTGTATTGATCTCACAACACTGTATTGATCTCACAACACTTAATTGATCTCACAACATTATATTGATCTCACAACACTGTATTGATCTCACAACACTGTATAGATTTCACAACACTGTATTGATCTCACAACACTGTATAGATCTCACAACACTGTATTGATATCACAACACTGTATAGATCTCACAACACTGTATTGATTTCACAACACTTAATTGATCTCACAACATTATATTGATCTCATAACACTGTATTGATCTCACAACACTGTATAAATCTCACAACACTGTATAGATCTCACAACACTATAGATCTCACAACAATGTATTGATCTCACAACACTATAGATCTCACAACAATGTATTGATCTCACAACACTTAATTGATCTCACAACACTTAATTGATCTCACAACAATGTATAGATCTCACAACATTATATTGATCTCACAACACTGTATAGATCTCACAACACTGTATAGATCTCACAGTACTGTATTGATCTCACAACACTTAATTGATCTCACAACACTATATTGATCTCACAGTACTGTATTGATCTCACAGTACTGTATTGATCTCACAACACTATATTGATCTCACAACAATCTATAGATCTCACAACAATGTACAGATCTCACAACACTGTAATGATCTCACAACACTGTATAGATCTCACAACACTATATTGATCTCACAACACTGTATTGATCTCACAACTCTGTATAGATCTTACAACACTGTATAGATCTCACAACACTGTATTGATTTCACAACACTTAATTGATCTCACAACATTATATTGATCTCACAACACTGTATTGATCTCACAATACTGTATAGATCTCACAACACTGTATTGATCTCACAACACTGTATTGATCTCACAACACTGTATAGATCTCACAACACTGTATTGATATCACAACACTGTATAGATCTCACAACACTGTATTGATTTAACAACACTTAATTGATCTCACAACATTATATTGATCTCATAACACTGTATTGATCTCACAACACTGTATAAATCTCACAACACTGTATAGATCTCACAACACTGTATAGATCTCACAACAATGTATAGATCTCACAACATTATATTGATCTCACAACACTGTATAGATCTCACAACACTGTATAGATCTCACAGTACTGTATAGATCTCACAACACTTAATTGATCTCACAACACTATATTGATCTCACAGTACTGTATTGATCTCACAGTACTGTATTGATCTCACAACACTATATTGATCTCACAGTACTGTATAGATCTCACAACACTATATTGATCTCACAACACTATATTGATCTCACAACACTTAATTTATCTCACAACACTGTATTGATCTCACAACACTGTATTGATCTCACAACACTATATTGATCTCACAACACTATATTGATCTCACAACACTGTATTGATCTCACAACAATGTATTGATTTGACAACACTGTATTGATCTCACAACACCATATTGATCTCACAACACTGTATTGATCTCACAACACTGTATTGATCTCACAACACTATATTGATCTCACAACACTATATTGATCTCACAACACCATATTGATCTCACAAAACCAGTGTGGGGGTGACACAAGATTGCAGACTATCTCCCGTCTTTTTTAATGTGTATTTGGAACACATCATGGAAGAAACGCTGTGTCATTTATGTTTTGCAGACGACATTGATCTAATGGCTGGTTCTGAAACAGAACTCCAAGAACTTACTACAATACTAAAGACAGCCTGTGGTAAAATGGCATGAAATTATTGCAGAGAAAAGCAAGATTCTGGTAAATAGCCACAAAAGTCAAATACCTATCAACATACAGATAAATGGGGGAAATAAAACTAGAAGAGGCTGAAGCCTTTAAATACCTTGGCTCCCACATGTGTCAAATTGGCAGCTGTAGCAAAGAGATCAAGACAAGACTTGGTCTGGCAACAGCCACGATGTCCTAGCAGTCAGGGACAATATATACAAATCACTGGCATTGACAATTTGTTTTTTTTTAAATATGGATGTGAGAGCTGGACTCTCACTGTGAAAATGAAAAAGAGCTTTCCAATTTAAATGCTATAAACACATTTTAGGAATTAGTTACTGAGAATACAAAACTAACAAATATGTCAAGAGTCAAATTTGTCGGGCATCAGGAGTCTCTCTTGGCATGTGGTGACACGTGGCAAGCTAGCTTGTTTAGGGCACGTGGTGAGACATGATTCCATTGCAAAGACCACTGAATGGGAGGGGAGAGGGGGAGTCAAAGAAGAGGAGAGCAAAGAAGAACCTGGAATTATACAATCAAGAAACGGACAGGACTAAGTTATCATTCACTTGTTGCTCAAGCAAAAGACAAAGATGGCGGGTTTTGTGTGTTAATGCTTCCATCAATATACCTCCGCTAACCTAATAGGTCAAAGGTTATGATGTTATGTGATGCTCATATGTGAACAATAAACAAGTTCACAACTCTACTCACCTCCTAAATTAACCAGTGCAGCCCTCTGTACATTGGGAACCCAACCTCTCCATAAGCCACGTACGCCTCCCTCAGCCAGAATCTGCCGAAATGCGTGGCCTGTGTTTTTGACTCTGTGAAAGAAATTACCCACAGTAAGAAAACACAAATCCAGTGTAGCAACAGAACACCTAGGAATAAACGTACAGATATTCAACGTTCACCTCTGTCTCCATATTTAGATGTAGTCTTGGTTCATCTGTCCCATATCTGAAGATATTCATGGTTCACCTGTCCCATATCTGGATATATTCATGGTTCATCTGTCCCATAACTGGACATATTCATGGTTCATCTGTCCCATATCTGTATATATTCATGGTTCATCTGTCCCATATCTGTATATATTCATGGTTCATCTGTCCCATATCTGTATATATTCATGGTTCATCTGTCCCATATCTGTATATATTCATGGTTCATCTGTCCCATATCTGTATATATTCATGGTTCATCTGTCCCATATCTGTATATATTCATGGTTCATCTGTCCCATATATGGATATATTTATGGTTCCCCTTTGTCACAGTTCTGGATAAATTCATGGTTCCTTTTTCTTCCATATCGGGATATATTCATGGTTCCCCTTTCTCCCAAATCTGGACATATTCATGGTTCACCTGTCCCATATCTGGATATATTCATGGTTCACCTGTCCCATATCTGGATATATTCATGGTTCACTTGTCCCACATCTGGATGTATTCATGGTTCACCTGTCCCATATCTGTATATATTCATGGTTCACCTGTCCCATATCTGGATATATTCATGGTTCACTTCCATTCCATATCTGGATATATTCGTGGTTCACCCTCTACCATATCTGGATATATTCATGGTTCACCTTTCTCACATTTTTGGATATATTCATGGTTCACTTCTGTTCCATATCTTGACATATTCATGGTTCTCTTCACTACAATATCTGAATATATTCACGGTTCTCTTCTCTCCAATATCTGGATATTTTCAAGGTTTCACTCTGTCCAATTTCTGGATATATTCATGGATCACTTCTGTCCCATATGTGGACATATTCATGGATAACCTCTGTCCCCTATCTGGATATATTTATGGTTAACCTTCATCCCATATCTTGATATATTCATAAATTACTTCTGTCCCAAATCTGGATATATTCATGGTTCACCTATGTCCCATATCTGGATATATTTATGGATAACCTTTGTCCCATATCTGGATATATTCAAGGATTGCCTCTGTTCCATATCTGGATATTTTCATGGATTACCTCAGTTCCATATCTGGATATATGCATAATTCACTTCTCTTTATTATCCAGACACACTGACTTTCCCCTTGCTTTCTTATTACAAACATTCATGTTTCACTTCACTTTCTTATTGCAAACATTCATGTTTCACTTATGTGTTGTTATTTCAAACATTTATTTTTTACTTTTGTTTACTTATTACAAACATTCATTTTTTACTTCTGTTTTCTAATTACAAACATTCATTTTTTACTTCTGTATTCTTTATTACAAACATTCCCTATTCACATGTGTGATATCTTTATCACAAAAATTCACGTTTTAACAAGTGTTTTATCTGTATTACAAACATTCACTGTTTACTTCTATCATGTGTCTGTTTCGTACTAGCTCTAGAGATCATAGAAGCATTGTAACTTTGTATGACAGTCAATAGAGATCATAGAAGCATTGTAACTTTTTATGGCGGTCAATAGAGATCATAGAAGCATTGTAACTTTGTATGGCGGTCAATAGAGATCATAGAAGCATTGTAACTTTGTATGACAGTCAATAGAGATCATAGAAGCATTGTAACTTTGTATGGCGGTCAATAGAGATCATAGAAGCATTGTAACTTTGTATGGCAGTCAATAGAGATCATAGAAGCATTGTAACTTTGTATGACAGTCAGTAGAGATCATAGAAGCATTGTAACTTTGTATGACAGTCAATAGAGATCATAGAAGCATTGTAACTTTGTATGGCAGTCAGCAGAGATCATAGAAGCATTGTAACTTTGTATGACAGTCAATAGAGATCATAGAAGCATTGTAACTTTGTGTGACAGTCAATAGAGATCATAGAAGCATTGTAACTTTGTATGACAGTCAGTAGAGGTCATAGAAGCATTGTAACTTTGTATGGCAGTCATTAGAGATCATAGAAGCATTGTAACTTTGTATGACAGTCAGTAGAGGTCATAAAAGCATTGTAACTTTGTATGACAGTCAATAGAGATCATAGAAGCATTGTAACTTTGTATGGCGGTCAATAGAGATCATAGAAGCATTGTAACTTTGTATGGCAGTCAATAGAGATCATAGAAGCATTGTACTTTTGTATGACAGTCAGTAGAATCATAGAAGCATTGTAACTTTTGTGACAGTCTTAGAGATCATAGATCAGCATTGTAACTTTGTATGGCAGTCATAGAGATCATAGAAGCATTGTAACTTTGTGTGGCAGTCAGTAGAGATCATAGAAGCATTGTAACTTTGTATGACAGTCAATAGAGATCATAGAAGCATTGTAATTTGTATGACAGTCATTCAGAGATCATAGAAGCATGTGTAACTTTTCGTGACTAGTCAGAGAGATCATAGAAGCATTGTAACTGTATGGCAGTCAATTGAGATCATAGGAGCATTATAACTTTGTACTCTTCTATGATCTCTACTGGCTGTTACACAAAGTTGCTACACTTCTATAAACTCTACTGACTGGAAGTCAAAGTTGCTAAACTTCTAAGACCTCTAATGCCTGCTAGACAAAGTTGCTACACTTCTATGACCTCTAATGACTGCTAGACAAAGTAGCTACACTTCTATGACCTCTAATGACTGCTAGACAAAAATGCAACACTTCTATTACCTCTAATGACTGCTAGACAAAGTTGCTAGACTTCTATGACCTCTAATGACTGCTAGACAAAGTAGCTACACTTCTATGAACTCTACTGACTGGTTGACAAAGTGGCAACATATATTTGACCTTGACTGACTGGTTGACAAAGCTGCTTTACTTCTATGACCTCCACTTACTGGTAAAAACAGTTGCTACTCTTCTATGAGTTCTACTGACTGATAGTCAGTAAAGTGTTATACCTGGGAGGCTTGCCCTCCAGCCTTCTTTTCCCCTCCATCTGCATTCGAACTTTGACCAAATCAGTGGGACTGGAAAAAAACTGTCCCATAGCACCAGCCAACAGACCAGACACAGAAGCTTTCCTGCAGGAAACAAGCAGAGGTTTGTTTTTGTGTAACAACCCAACCCAAGACACACTCAACATGTTTACAGACAACCTAACCTATACCACACTCAGTGACAGCAGCACCCACACAGACTAGAGACAACATCTGGCCAACAATGACAGCAGCACACACACAGACTAAACAGCTGGTCAGTAATGACAGCAGCACACACAGAGACTAGACACAACAGCTGGCCAGCAATGACAGCAGCACTCACACAGACTAAACAGATGGCCAGCAATGACAGCAGCACTCACTCAGACTAAACAGATGGCCAGCAATGACAGCAGCACACACACAGACTAAACAGCTGGCCAACAATGACAGCAGCACACACAGAGACTAGACACAACAGCTGGCCAGCAATGACAGCAGCACTCACACAGACTAAACAGCTGGCCAACAATGACAGCAGCACTCACACAGACTAGAGACAACAGCTGCCCAGCAATGACAGCAGCACTTACTCAGACTAAATAGCTAGCCAGCAGTGACAGCGCACTCACACAGACTAGAGACAACAGCTGGCCAGCAATGACAGCAGCACACACAGAGACTAGAGACAACAGCTGGCCAGCAATGACAGCAGCACTCACACAGACTAGAGACAACAGCTGGCCAACAATGACAGCAGCACTTACACAGACTAAACAGCTGGCCAGCAGCACTCACACAGACTAGAGACAACAGCTGGGCAGCAATGACAGCAGCACTCACACAGACTAAACAGCTGGGCAGCAATGACAGCAGCACTTACTCAGACTAAATAGCTGGCCAGCAGTGACAGCAACACTCACACAGACTAGAGACAACAGCTGGCCAACAATGACAGCAGCACTCACACAGACTAAACAGATGGCCAGCAATGACAGCAGCACTCACTCAGACTAAACAGCTGGTCAGTAAGGACAGCAGCACACACAGAGACTAGACACAACAGCTGGCCAGCAATGACAGCAGCACTCACACAGACTAAACAGCTGGCCAACAATGACAGCAGCACTCACACAGACTAGAGACAACAGCTGGCCAGCAGTGACAGCAGCACTCACACAGACTAGAGACAACAGCTGGCCAGCAATGACAGCAGCACACACAGAGACTAGAGACAACAGCTGGCCAGCAATGACAGCAGCACTCACACAGACTAGAGACAACAGCTGGCCAACAATGTCAGCAGCACTTACACAGACTAAACAGCTGGCCAGCAATGACAGCAGCACTCACACAGACTAGAGACAACAGCTGGGCAGCAATGACAGCAGCACACACACAGACTAAACAGCTGGTCAGTAATGACAGCAGCACACACAGAGACTAGACACAACAGCTGGCCAGCAATGACAACAGCACCCACACAGACTAAACAGATGACCAGCAATGACAGCAGCACTCACTCAGACTAAACAGATGGCCAGCAATGACAGTAGCACACACACAGACTAAACAGCTGGTCAGTAATGACAGCAGCACACACAGAGACTAGAGACAACAGATGGCCAGCAATGACAGTAGCACACACAGAGACTAGAGACAACAGATGGGCAGCAATGACAGCAGCACACACAGAGACTAGAGACAACAGCTGGCCAACAATGACAGCAGCACTCACACAGAGTAAACAGCTGGTCAGTAATGACAGCAGCACACACAGAGACTAGAGATAACAGCTGGCCAACAATGACAGCAGCACTCACACAGACTAGAGACAACAGCTAACCAGCAATGACAGCAGCACACAGACTAGAGACAACAGCTGGCCAACAATGACAGCAGCACTCACACAGACTAAACAGATGACCAGCAATGACAGCAGCACTCACTCAGACTAAACAGATGGCCAGCAATGACAGTAGCACACACAGAGACTAGAGACAACAGCTGGCCAACAATGACAGCAGCACTCACACAGACTAAACAGCTGGTCAGTAATGACAGCAGCACACACAGAGACTAGAGACAACAGCTGGCCAACAATGACAGCAGCACACAGACTAGAGACAACAGCTGGCCAGCAATGACAGCAGCACACAGACTAGAGACAACAGCTGGCCAACAATGACAGCAGCACTCACACAGACTAGAGACAACAGCTGGCCAACAATGACAGCAGCACACAGACTAGAGACAACAGCTAACCAGCAATGACAGCAGCACACAGACTAGAGACAACAGCTGACCAGCAATGACAGCAGCACACAGACTAGAGACAACAGCTGGCCAACAATGACAGCAGCACTCACACAGACTAGAGACAACAGCTGGCCAACAATGACAGCAGCACACAGACTAGAGACAACAGCTAACCAGCAATGACAGCAGCACACAGACTAGAGACAAAAGCTGGCCTAAAATGACAGCAGCACACACACAGACTAGAGACAACAGCTGGCCAACAATGACAGCAGCACTCACACAGACTAGAGACAACAGCTGGCCAACAATGACAGCAGCACACAGACTAGAGACAACAGCTGGCCAGCAATGACAGCAGCACACAGACTAGAGACAACAGCTGGCCTAAAATGACAGCAGCACACAGACTAGAGACAACAGCTGGCCTAAAATGACAGCAGCACACAGACTAGAGACAACAGCTGGCCAACAATGACAGCAGCACACAGACTAGAGACAACAGCTGGCCAGCAATGACAGCAGCACACAGACTAGAGACAACAGCTGGCCAACAATGACAGCAGCACACAGACTAGAGACAACAGCTAGCCAGCAATGACAGCAGCACACAGACTAGAGACAACAGCTGGCCAGCAATGACAGCAGCACTCACACAGACTAGAGACAACAGCTAGCCAGCAATGACAGCAGCACACAGACTAGAGACAACAGCTGGCCAGCAATGACAGCAGCACTTACTCAGACTAAACAGCTGGCCAGCAATGACAGCAGCACTCACACAGACTAGAGACAACAGCTAGCCAGCAATGACAGCAGCACACAGACTAGAGACAACAGCTGGCCAGCAATGACAGCAGCACTTACTCAGACTAAACAGCTGGCCAGCAGTGACAGCAACACTCACTCAGACTAAACAGCTGGCCAGCAATGACGACAGCACTCACTCAGACTAGAGACAACAGCTGCCCAGCAATGACAGCAACACTCACTCAGACTAGAGACAACAGCTGCCCAGCAATGACAGCAACACTCACTCAGACTAGAGACAACAGCTGCCCAGCAGTGACAGCAACACTCACTCAGACTAGAGACAACAGCTGCCCAGCAGTGACAGCAACACTCACTCAGAATAGAGACAACAGCTGGCCAGCAATGACAGCAGCACTCACACAGACTAAACAGCTGGCCAGCAATGACAACAGCACTCACACAGACTAGAGACAACAGCTGGGCAGCAATGACAGCAGCACTTACTCAGACTAAACAGCTGGCAAGCATTGACAGCAGCACTCACATAGACTAAACAGCTGGCCAGCAGTGACAGCAACACTCACTCAGACTAGAGACAACAGCTGGCCAGCAATGACAGCAGCACTAAATCTGACTAGAGTCAACAGACATGTAAAAACGCCCCACAGACTTGAAAAAGCTGACACCAAACATAAAACAGCATCCCTGAAGACAGGAATACATACCACACTGGAAAAGATCCATCAGTATTTCTCTTGAACACTTTATCTCTGAGTGCTTCATAGAAACTCATTCGACAGCCCGTATAGACTGAAACAATATTCATGAATGCTGAAATAGACTGAAACTGAAACAATATTTATGAATGCTGAACTACACAGTGAACACAAGGATACAGAACAGTATATGAGCATAGCATGGGGGTACAGCACAGCACAAGAGGAAAGCACAGCACATGGGCAAAGCATGGCACAAGGGTACAGCACTAGGGTACAGCAGAGTACAGTACAAGGTTACAGCACAGCATATGAGCACAGCACAAGGGTACAGCACAATACATGAGCACAGCACAAGGGTTACAGCATAACTGACAGAGAAGGCAATATGGGCAGTGCCCTCGATCTCGGTCTGGTCTAACCCAGCATGAGTGCCCTCTACCAGTGGGTCGTACTGTGAGATCATGGAAGCGACCAGCTTCCATGCTCGATTATGGTCAAGAAAACAAAACGTACACGGTCCCAGAAACCAGATGCCATTTTTAAATACGGGGCACACCAGACTAATTTAACTGGAAGTCTATAAGATAGGGTAGTAGAATATTGGGCAGGATGAACTGTGTATCAAAAAACCCCCATGATGGACACCTGAAGTCGCCAAGGTATGGACAGCGAAACAACGAAACAAAGTGTCACTAAAGAATGGGGAAAATGCAGAAAGTCTTTAAGACTGTCTGATGCTCACAAGCAAGCCATGAAAGAAAAAAAAAAAGATTACATCACTAACACTTTAAACAAACTGAGAGGGAGGCTAAGCACAATGAAACAGGGTGCAAAAAATCACATAAAATTCTGGATACTCTCAATATGAACGGCAGCAAAATATCATGTAATGTGTCCGATTTAAATTTCCCCAACAACCCAAAAAGACAAACAGAGATGAAAGGAAACAGATGAAACAAACAGTGCACGACATGCACATTGCTGAAATGGATGGAGAAGATGACACAGTGAACATCTCTGCTGCAAACATCAGACTATATTGAAGACCTGCCTCGACACAGCCCCAGGGCCCAAAAGCATAAGATACAGTGTACATCTCTGCTGCAAACATCAGACTATACTGAAGACCTGCCTCGACACAGCCCCAGGGCCCAAAAGCATTAGATACAGTGTACATCTCTGCTGCAAACATCAGACTATACTGAAGACCTGCCTCGACACAGCCCCAGGGCCCAAAAGCATAAGATACAGTGTACATCTCTGCTGCAAACATCAGACTATACTGAAGACCTGCCTCGACACAGCCCCAGGGCCCAAAAGCATAAGATACAGTGACATATAATTCCTTGAGGACCTTGAGGAAACAGACACAATGGAACTGTCCATGCCATTTAACAAGGGCATCAAAAGCGGCATTATCTCCGATGACTGACTACACAGCTACCTCAGACCACTTCCTGAGCCTAGAAAAGATCACCAAAAAGTAAATGGCTATAGAATCATCACACGTCACAACACGTTAGGAAAAACTCATGAAAACAATCATGTCACAACACGTTAGGAAAAACTCATGAAAAAAATCACGTCACAACATGATAGGAAAACTCATGAAAACAATCACGTCACAACACGTTAGGAAAACTCATGAAAACAATCACGTCACAACAGGATAGGAAAACTCATGAAAACAATCACGTCACAACACGTTAGGAAAAACTCATGAAAACAATCACGTCACAACACGATAGGAAAAACTCATGATAAAAATCACGTCACAACCTCGATAGGAAAACTCATGAAAAAAATTGTGGCTGAAATTTGACCCGAAAATTAGAGTCAAATCGACTTCTGGCACCTACACTAGGTTGGTACTGCCTGGGCAAAGAAATCTGGTGCAATGCTGCAGTATTTGCTTAGGACAAATATATGAGGGCTTCCAGGCAGGAATGGAACATGCCGTAGCTGCCATTGACTTCCTTAACATGGTTTAGCTTGAATACCCACACTGTCACTAAACCTACGCCAGTCGTGAGCATATGTGATTGTGGTGTGTTAATGTGCTTTGTTTTTGTGAAAGTGCAATGTGCAGTCTACTGAAGATACTAGAACATAATTCTTCTTCTGTTCTTTACAAGACCTCATACAGAGAGAATCTTAAACAGTGAAACATCCTAAAAGATTATCTACCTCTCAACCATGCTAGTTAACACTTTTCTGACCACAATCTGGAGCATTACCGTCTCCCATTAACAAGGGTATTTGGATATTTTTTCAAAATGACTGGTTTTCTGATAAAATTCGTAAAAAATTCAAAAACAAGCGTAGGGATTTTGAAACCTTCAGAGCCTCATTACGGATGGTTGCTTCACATGATACAAGATATATTATACAAATATGTTATATGATCACAGTGGCTATTTTGAATTTGTTTAGCTATTGATAAAAATGTCAGGACATGTTCCAAAACCATCATCTTTGTCCAGTTCTGAGTGAATTTGTTCAATGTCAGGGCACAAATATTTGGGGGACATGGTTGATGAGCAATAACATGAGCTAAATAGGAGCCAAATCTAATTAGGCAATTATGTGACTAGATCAGTCATGGAAAAGAATGGACTGATACACCGGCAGACGTACGTGACTTGTCTTAGGTTGTCATGATAGTGGGGAGGTACTGCAGGAATCAGATACCTGTCACTGTAGATGCCAAGATTAGTACAGTAGAGCCTCTGGAAGGAAGGTGAGAGGAAGACCAAGGAAGAGATGGATAAATGGTGTATATGAAACCTACAAAAAGTTGAACAAATCCATCATTTAAGCAACCTGAGAAGCTCAAGACAAATACAGAAAACTATGACACTGGGTTACAACCTGGTAACAGTGAGAGACAAAAGAAAAAGATCAGCACAGGCATACACAGTACAAAGGATGGGCTAAACAAAAAAAGGATAGCGGCGCATACCAGACAACTACGTCAAACATGACCAGGGAGATAACTGCTGCTTCCAGAACACATGCATGGGCAGCAGAACAAGTGGCCGTACAAGTGGTAATCATTTCAGACAATGAACATGCTTCAGAAAATCACATCAGACAGTCTTTTCTTTGATCTGAAAAGATAGAAAGCATTTGGAAGTCACAGTTAACCTCCATCATCTGAATCTACACATCTGGGTGTGCAGGAGTAAATGGTAATGAAAGAGCTGAACCAGCTCGTAAGTTATGCACCAATGCAAAAAGGAAGAAGCATGGACAGAGCTGATATCATCAATGCTCTACAGACTAGGCTGGGGTATAATGGTGAATTTCTGACGCTAACATGACAGCGTGACCGAGAAGTTAAGCTTGGTGAAGCACGACTATGTTGTCTTTGAGGCAAAGACAGGAGATAATATAACCAACTTCTCATGGGAAAACAACTGGTAGAGGTACCTTGGAATGGCTGCCGCATCTGAGGACTGAGCACGCATGGGGATGCTCAATGTACAAAGATGTCAGTTTTATTAACATAACAGCATAAGGGTAAAGTACAGCACAAGGGTACAGAACAGCACAAGAGTACAGAACAGTGCATGGCTACAACATAAGGGTACAGCACAGTACGTGAGAACAGCACAAGGGTACATTACAGCACAAAGGTACATAACTACAGTACATGTGTGCAACACAAGGGTACAGAACAGCACATGTGTGTGTGCAACACAAGGGTACAGCAAATCACATGTGTGTGTGCAACACAAGGGTACAGCAAAGCACATGTGTGTGTGCAACACAAGGGTACAGCAAAGCACATGTGTGTGTGCAACATAAGGGTACAGCAAAGCACATGTGTGTGTGCGCAACACAAGGGTACAGCAAAGCACAAGGGTAGAGCCCAGTAAATAAGCACAGCACAAAGGTACAGCACAGCACAAGGGTACAACACAGGGGTACAGCACTGCTGTATATGAGCATAGCACAAGAGTACAGCACAGCACAAGGGTACAGCACAGCACAAGGGTACAACACAGGGGTACAGCACTGCTGTATATGAGCACAGCACAAGGGTACAGCACAGCACAAGGGTACAGCAAAGTACAAGGGTAAAATGACAAGATACAGTACATCATAAGGGTACAAAACAACAAAATGGTACTGCAACAGTACAACACAATACAAGGATACAGGACAGCACAAGGGTACAACACAGGGGTACAGCACAGAATAAGGGCACAGTGGGAACTGCACAGTACTCCGAAGCACTTACTGACGTGTCTGTAGAGAGCAGGGGTAACACCCTGCCATAGTTTCCTCAACCCTTCCTCTTTTACTGAAACAAACACAAAATTTGTATACAAACATTCAACATCTTTTGCACACGCAAATTTTCAACAACTGGCCAACACAAACTTTGGCAACAAACATGGCCAAACATTTAACACAACAATCTGTATGAGATTCAGACACGGGGAGGCAGTGAGATACTTCAACAGAGGAAGAGTCACAGAGATAGTGAGACACCAAGATACTTCAACAGAAGAAACAATCACATAGATAGCGAGACAGTGAGATACTTCAGCACAGGAAACAGTCCCAGAGAAAGTAAGATAATGAGATACTTCAACAGCAGACACAACCACATAGACTCAACAGAAGAAGCAGTAAAAAAAATATAGTGGGATACTTTAACAGAAGAAACAATCACATAAAAAATATCACAGAAAAAATGAAACAGTGAGATACTTTAACAGAAGAAAATCACCTAAATAATGAGACAGTATGATACTTGAACAGAAGAAACAGTAAGAAATAGTGATATAATGCAAAAACACAAAACAAAATCACAGACAGTGAGTTACTTCTAAATAAGAAACAGTCATAGAGATAGTGAGACAGTGAGATACTGCTAAATAAGAAACAGTCATAGAGATAGTGAGACAGTGAGATACTTCTAAATAAGAAACAGTCATAGAGATAGTGAGACAGTGAGATCAAAAACATGAAAAAGTCCAAGAGAAAGTAAGCTAGTAAGATACTTCAACAGAAGAAACAATCACAGAGATAGTGAGATATTTCAACAAAAGAAACAATCACAGAGATAGTGAGATATTTCAACAAAAGAAACAATCACAGAGACAGTGAGATATTTCAACAAAAGAAACAATCACAGAGATAGTGAGATATTTCAACAAAAGAAACAATCACAGAGATAGTGAGATATTTCAACAAAAGAAACAATCACAGAGACAGTGAGATATTTCAACAAAAGAAACAATCACAGATTCAGTGAGATATTTCAACAAAAGAAACAATCACAGAGATAGTGAGATATTTCAACAAAAGAAACAATCACAGAGATAGTGAGATATTTCAACAAAAGAAACAATCACAGAGACAGTGAGATATTTCAACAAAAGAAACAATCACAGAGATAGTGAGATATTTCAACAAAAGAAACACAATCACAGAGATAGTGAGATATTTCAACAAAAGAAACAATCACAGAGATAGTGAGATATTTCAACAAAAGAAACAATCACAGAGATAGTGAGATATTTCAACAAAAGAAACAATCACAGAGACAGTGAGAATTTCAACAAAAAGAAACAATCACAGATTCAGTGAGATATTTCAACAAAAGAAACAATCACAGAGACAGTGAGATATTTCAACAAAAGAAACAATCACAGAGACAGTGAGATATTTCAACAAAAGAAACAATCACAGAGACAGTGAGATATTTCAACAAAAGAAACAATCACAGATTCAGTGAGATATTTCAACAGAAGAAACAATCACAGAGACAGTGAGATATTTCAACAAAAGAAACAATCACAGAGACAGTGAGATATTTCAACAGAAGAAACAATCACAGAGACAGTGAGATATTTCAACAAAAGAAACAATCACAGAGACAGTGAGATATTTCAACAAAAGAAACAATCACAGAGACAGTGAGATATTTCAACAAAAGAAACAATCACAGATTCAGTGAGATATTTCAACAAAAGAAACAATCACAGAGACAGTGAGATATTTCAACAAAAGAAACAATCACAGATTCAGTGAGATATTTCAACAAAAGAAACAATCACAGAGATAGTGAGATATTTCAACAAAAGAAACAATCACAGAGATAGTGAGATATTTCAACAAAAGAAACAATCACAGAGACAGTGAAGATATTTTCAACAAAAGAAACAATCACAGAGATAGTGAGATATTTCAACAAAAGAAACAATCACAGAGACAGTGAGATATTTCAACAAAAGAAACAATCACAGAGATAGTGAGATATTTCAACAAAAGAAACAATCACAGAGACAGTGAGATATTTCAACAAAAGAAACAATCACAGAGACAGTGAGATATTTCAACAAAAGAAACAATCACAGAGATAGTGAGATATTTCAACAAAAGAAACAATCACAGAGATAGTGTGATATTTTAATAGAAGACAGTCATAGAGATGTGAGAGTTAGAAACTTCAACAGAAGAAAGCTATGATAACCTCCCTCCCCTAAATGTTGTAGCTATGATAACCTCCCTACCCCAAACTGTTGTAGCTATGATAACCTCCCTACCCCAACTGTTGTAGCTATGATAACCTCCCTACCCCAACTGTTGTAGCTATGATAACCTCCTACCCCAACTGTTGTAGCTATTTCAAACTTCAAACCCCAACTGTTGTAGCTATGATAACCTCCCTACCCCAACTGTTGTAGCTATGATAACCTCCCTACCCCGTTGCAGCTATGATAACCTCCCTACCCCAACTGTTGTAGCTATGATAACCTCCCTACCCCAACTGTTGTAGCTATGATAACCTCCCTACCCCAACTGTTGTAGCTATGATAACCTCCCTACCCCGTTGTAGCTATGATAACCTCCCTACCCCGTTGTAGCTATGATAACCTCCCTACCCCAACTGTTGTAGCTATGATAACCTCCCTACCCCAACTGTTGTAGCTATGATAACCTCCCTACCCTGTTGTAGCTATGATAACCTCCCTACCCCGTTGTAGCTATGATAACCTCCCTACCCCAACTGTTGTAGCTATGATAACCTCCCTACCCCAACTGTTGTAGCTATGATAACCTCCCTACCCCGTTGCAGCTATGATAACCTCCCTAAGACAAAAGTTGTAGCTATGATAACCTCCCTACCCCAACTGTTGTAGCTATGATAACCTCCCTACTCCAACTGTTGTAGCTATGATAACCTCCCTACCCCGTTGCAGCTATGATAACCTCCCTAAGACAAAAGTTGTAGCTATGATAACCTTTCTAAGTCAAATGTTGTAGCTATGATAACCTTTCTAAGTCAAATGTTGTAGCTATGAAAACCTCTCTAAGTCAAATGTTTTAGCTATGAAAACCTCTCTAAGTCAAATCTTGTAGCTATGAAAACCTCTCTAAGTCAAATGTTGTAGCTATGATAACCTCTCTATTGCAACTGCTGTAACTATCTTAAAATAGCTATTCCAAATGTTGTAGCTTTGCTAGCATCCCTTTCCCAACTGTTGTAGCTATCACTACCTAGCTATTGCAACTGTTGTGTGGTATCACAACCTAGCTATTCCAACTGTTGTGTTGTATCACAACCTACCTATTGCAACTGTTGTGTTGTATCACAACCTAGCTATTGCAACTGTTAAAGCTATCACAACTCATCTATGATAAATGTTGTGGCTATGATAAATGTTGTGGCTATGATAACCTCCCTAGCCCAGCTGTTGTATCTATGGCAACCTACCTATTCCAACAGCTGTGGCTATCATGCCACGCTGTTGCTGATTCAGTTTGTTTGCTCCATGCAAAGTGTGACCTATTTCCCCCTGGATCTGAAGTCTGGTCTTTGTCAGGTCCAATGGGTAGGTCACTGGAAGCAAATCATTATAAGGTAACAAGTATAAGATAACAACTTCTGGTCAGGAGGGCAAATCATCATATGTAACAATAATTCCACAACTTCTGGTCAGGAGGGCAAATCATCATATGTAACAATAATTCCACAACTTCTGGTTCAGGAGGGCAAATCATCATAAGTAACAATAATTCCACAACTTCTGGTCACTGGGGGCAAATCGTCCTAAGAAAAAAAAAACAATGCCTGGTCAAAGGAAGGGGGTTGGAGAGAGAATCATCATAAGTAACAAGTATTACACAATACCTGGTCACTGGGGGGCAAATCAACATAAGTAACAATTATTACACAATTTCTGGTCACTGGGGGGCAAATCAACATAAGTAACAAGTATTACACAATATCTGGTCACTTGGGGCAAATCAACATAAGTAACAATTATTACACAATGTCTGGTCACTTGGGGCAAATCAACATAAGTAACAATTATTACACAATTTCTGGTCACTGGGGGGCAAATCAACATAAGTAACAAGTATTACACAATATCTGGTCACTTGGGGCAAATCAACATAAGTAACAATTATTACACAATGACTGGTCACTGGGGGGCAAATCAACATAAGTAACAATTATTACACAATGTCTGTTCTCACTGGGGCAAATCAACATATGTAACAATAATTACACAATGTTCTGGTCACTTGGGCAAATCAACATAAGTAACAATTATTACACAATTTCTGGTCACTGGGGGGCAAATCAACATAAGTAACAATTATTACACAATGTCTGGTCACTGGGGGCAAATCAACATAAGTAACAATTATTACACAATGTCTGGTCACTGGGGGCAAATCAACATAAGTAACAATTATTACACAATTTCTGGTCACTGGGGGGCAAATCAACATAAGTAACAAGTATTACAAAAATATGTTGGTCACTTGGGGCAAATCAACATAAATTAACAATTATTACACAATGTCTGGTCACTGGGGCAAATCAACATAAGTAACAGGTGTTACACAAGATACTGGTCACTGGGGGCAAATCAACATAAGTTAACAATTATACACAATGTCTGGTCACTGGGGGGCAAATCAACATAAGGTAAACAATATTACACAATGTTCTGGTCACTGGGGGCAAATCAACATACAGTAACAAGTATAACACGAATGTCTGGTCACTGGTGGGCAAATCAACATAAGTAACAATTATTACACAATGTCTGGTCACTGGGGGCAAATCATCATAAGTAACAATTATTACACAATTTCTGGTCACTTGGGGCAACATAACATAAGTAAATCAATTATTACACAATGTCTGGTCACTGGGGGGCAATTGTTACATAAAGTAACAATTATTACACACAATGTATGGCACTGGGGTGTCAAATCAACATAAGTAACAAGTCATACACAATAGTGCTGGTCACTTGGGGCAAATCAACATAGAGTAACAATTATTACACAATTTCTGGTCACTTGGGGCAAATCAATCATAAGGTAACAAAATAATTACACAATGTCGTGGTCACTTTGTTGGCCAAATCAAACATAAGTAACCCTTATACACATGGTCTGGTCAAAGGGGGGCAAATCAACATAAGCAACAAGTATTACACAATATCAGGTACTTGCGTAGGCAAATCACATAAAGTAACAGACTATTACACAATGGTTTGGTAAAGGGTAGGGGCACATCAACATAAGCTTACAAGTATCAACAATGTTTGAGTCACTGGGGGCAAATCAACATAAGTAACAAGTATTACACAATATCTGGTCACTTGGGGCAAATTGAACATAAAGTAAACAATAAGTATTACACAATGTCTGGTCACTGGGGGCAATCATAGTAACAATTATTACACAATTTCTGGTCACTGGGGGGCAAATCATCACATCGATTAACAATTATTACACAATGTCCCTGGTCACTGGGGGGCAAATCACAACACAGAAACATTATTACACAATTTCTGGTCAAAGGGGTTGCACACAGACATAGCTAACAATTATCAATCTGGTCACTTGGGTAAATCAACATTGGTAACAATTATTACACAATCCAGTACCCTCACTCAATAGGGGGGGGGGGGGGGGTAGGTACACATCAGAACAATTATTACACAATTATCTCACTGAGAGGTTTGCTGTGGAGGTGGGAACTGATTAACCTGAAAACATGGGTTTCCTCAAAAAAATAACTGTGTAGAGTTAAGGTGTTGTTACACAGATACAGCTTACCCTCATCAATGGTTTGAGGTAAAGGTGTTGGTACACAAACACAGCCTATCCTCATCAATAGTTTGAGGTAAAGGTGTTGGTATACAGATACAGCTTACTCTCATCAATGGTTTGAGGTAAAGGTGTAGGTACACAAACACAGCTTACCCTCGTCAATGGTTTGAGGTAAAGGTGTAGGTACACAGATTCAGCTTACCCTCATCAATAGTTTAATGTAAAGGTGTTGGTACACAGATACAGCTTACCCTCACTAATGGTTTGAGGTAAAGGTGTTGGTACACAGATACAGCTTACCCTCATCAATGGTTTGAGGTAAAGGTGTAGGTACACAGATACAGCTTACACTCACTAATGGTTTGAGGTAAAGGTGTTGGTACACAGATACAGCTTACACTCATCAATGGTTTGAGGTAAAGGTGTAGGTACACAGATACAGCTTACACTCACCAATGGTTTGAGGTAAAGGTGTTGGTACACAGATACAGCTTACCCTCATCAATGGTTTGAGGTAAAGGTGTAGGTACACAGATACAGCTTACACTCATCAATGGTTTGAGGTAAAGGTGTTGGTACACAGATACAGCTTATGCTCACCAATGGTTTGAGGTAAAGGTGCTGTAACACAAACACAGCTTACCCTCATCAATGGTTTGAGGTAAAGGTGCTGGCACACAAACACAACTTATCCTCGTCAATGGTTTGAGGTAAAGGTGTAGGTACACAGATACAGCTTACCCTCATAAGCGGTTTGAGGTAAAGGTGTTGGTACACAGATACAGCTTACCCTCATCAATGGTTTGAGGTAAAGGTGTTGGTACACAGATACAGCTTACATTCATCAATGGTTTACGGTAAAAGTGCTGGTACACAAACACAGCTTACACTCATCAATGGTTTGAGGTAAAGGTGCTGGCACACAAACACAGCTTACACTCATCAATGGTTTGAGGTAAAGGTGTTGGTACACAGATACAGCTTACCCTCATCAATGGTTTGAGGTAAAGGTGTTGGTACACAGATACAGCTTACACTCATAAATGGTTTGAGGTAAAGGTGTTGGTACACAGATACAGCTTACACTCATCAATGGTTTGAGGTAAAGGTGTTGGTACACAGATACAGCTTACCCTCATCAATGGTTTGAGGTAAAGGTGTTGGTACACAGATACAGCTTACCCTCATCAATGGTTTGAGGTAAAGGTGTAGGTACACAGATACAGCTTACACTCACCAATGGTTTGAGGTAAAGGTGTAGGAACACAGATACAGCTTTCCTCATCAATGGTTTGAGGTAAAGGTGTAGGAACACAGATACAGCTTACACTCACCAATGGTTTGAGGTAAAGGTGTAGGTACACAGAGACAGCATACACTCACCAATGGTTTCAGGTAAAGGTGTAGGAACACAGATTCAGCTTACCCTCATCAATGGTTTGAGGTAAAGGTGTAGGTACACAGATACAGCTTACCCTCATCAATGGTTTGAGGTAAAGGTGTAGGAATACAGATACAGCTTACACTCATCAATGGTTTGAGGTAAAAGTGCTGGTACACAGATACAGCTTACACTCATCAATGGTTTACGGTAAAGGTGCTGGTATACAGACACAGCTTACCCTCACCAATGGTTTGAGGTAAAGGTGTAAGTACACAGATACAGCTTACACTCATCAATGGTTTGAGGAAAAGTGCTGGTACATTGGAATAAATTCAAAGGACATGCTCTTTGGTGGATTTTGTTTGAAACATGCAATTTTTATGTCAACATGTAACTTGAATTTCCATTTTATGAAAATGTTTGTAAATTTTTTACCTCAAAATAAGAAAAACTTACTTAGATACAGAATACTGACAGAGGCTGCGATTTTAGCTAAATTATGGCTGAGCACCTACACAAACTTTAAACATACATTGAATACTTTTTTTTTTCTAGCAGGACTGATATTGCTTCTTCTTCTTCTCTTCCACCTTGTACCTCATTGAAGTGTCGGGGAGCTCTGTCAAGGGAACTATTAAGACTGATGTTCATTTCTGTAAGGCTGTTCTTAATCCTTTGGTGACAGAGCTTTTTCAGAGATTGGGTGCCAAGAAGACGGAGCTTTCAGAAGGAAATTCTCAGTTTATACATAAAAACAATACAACAAATAAAGCCTTTAATTAACATATATAAAACTATAAATATTTGTGTAGGAAATTAAATGAACTAACAGAATATTTATGAATCAAACTGAAATCTCATCATTTATTCAAACTGACTATTCTGATTTGCATAATTTTATACCCTTATTCGGAGGATAGCTGATTGTCCCTACCTTGGTCTTAGCCTTCTGCTGGCCTCTATTTTTTCTATTTCTTAAAACATCTCCTATTTTCATCATGGGCATTTTTTTTGAACCGCTGAATCCTCCACCGACTTGCCAGACCTATCGTGAATTCATCTTTAACTGAACAACTATACTAATCTAACGCATTTAACACTCCTTCCAGGAATAAAACATGTTTGTCACAATTTTCGGCGGAACGTTGTTTACACCCACCATCTTGGCCGGATTTCGCTACTGCCACTAATTTAATCATCACCGAAATATGTACCTTTATCAGATTTTATTGTTTAGATGATAGATAAGGAAGGCCCGTGCAAAATGTCATAAAAATCTGACCATACTTTGATACCTTTAATGGCTATACTCGGAATAAGGGTCCAAAATTATTGAGGCCAAAAATATACCCTAACAGGAGCCTCAGTCACATGTCAATTGCAGACTTCCAGCAACTTAAATTGTGCACTTCCGGCGACTTCTGCCACCGCTGAGAGTATCTCCCACGCAGCGCGCAGCTTGGATTGGGGCTAAACTAAATGGCTGGGACTCACGAGCAGCAACTACTACTACCGCATCTCCTGCAGCTTCCTTTATTTGATTTGCTCGTGAGACCCAGGCATCTAGTTTAGATCCCCAATCCACGCCACACGTAGCGGCGTGGGAGATACTCTCGGCGGTATAGTCCCCGGAAGTTCGCAATTGACATGTGACTGAGGCACTGTTAGGGTATATTTTAAGCCTCGATAATTTGGGACCGTTATTCGGAGGATAGCCTCTTTTAACTAACCATTGATTACTCAAAACTTGCATAATTTATGATTTTTCTGCTTATTTTCATCCCCTTAATGATATGACGAGACTGTGATGTTTCTATTGATTTCACCTGCTTCTGCTACAACTGCGGCTGATGCAGACAAGAAGTACTTAAAGAGAAACGTGTCGCGACTGTTGGAGACAGACATGGCTAGATTGCACCGTCCTACGGCCATTTAGTCGCGGTGTCGCCTCCAATAATCACCCCGGATAAGTTTATACACAGAAACATATGCTGCAGGAGACGAGCATACATGGGTATGTTGGGGGGGGGGGGGGGGGGTTATTGTATCAGAGGAAAGGGGAGAGACACTAAATAAAGGATAATATAAATCTACTTCTTAAACCTATCTGTACTCTAAACCTACAAGAGCTTCAACAAACATTGTCGTGGTAAATGTAAGCCAACCCACACTCAAGCTGCCTCATTAACAAGAAAAAAAAAGTTTATTTGACTTGGGCAAAGACCAGTTGTGACTTTACCCAGACAGGATATATTCCTTATGAAGTCTAATCAGTGATAATAGTAAAACTAGGCACACAACTACAAATCATAATCCGAATGAAAAAAACTGGAACTATATTTATCACATTTAAACATCTGCCTATTTTACTGAACACAAAGCTAACGTTTGACAAATAACACTCCACTAACATGCTCGGGTCTGCACTCACATGTATTGAGCACTTTATGTAGCAAATATGAAAATTTGCTTCAAGTGACATTTAAAAATATATCTCTAAGCAATGATATCTATTTATCAACCGTAGTTTAACCAATGACATAAATTGAAATCTAACTATGGAAACGTACCACCACGAGATATGCAAGCCACTCGTTCACCTGGCCCAGTCAGGCACACTTGACCAGCGACCAAGAGGCATTATCGCGCTCAGCAGGCTCTTTTATAAACTTCGTGAACCTGTCAGATTTTTTTTTTTCGTAAGTCACACTAAACAAAAAAATTATAAACGGATTTTGGCGTCTTACCACATATCCCCCTAACAAATTTGTGGGCGTCCCGACAATGACAAAATCACAAACGATCATTGTCTATCAATCACTTCAACTCCTGTTCTACCTTTTGTCAAGTTACTGGTCAGAGCCACCTGAAACAAAATCATTCTCCTAACAGGAAGTAATCACTAGTTACCTGCAACATCATTCATTAATATACATCCAAAACAAAAATAAATGTCATTGACATATGAGCAAAGCATTGCTCGTCCCAAGGAAACATGATAATAAACATATGTTTTCTAAGTAGAAAATGACATAAACGATAGCAATAATAATATGAACGTTGTAAGCGTTTCATCCCGGGCACCACCAGATGAGTAAAACCATTACAATTCCCCCCTCTCCCCTCAGCTGCAAAGCTATCGAGATAAATACTTTGCCCTTGCCTCAGCCTCAAGGCTGTCAAGAGATATTTTCTGTAACTGTCTCAGCCGCATGGCTATCGAGAGACATGTTTCACCCCTACCCCAGCCGTGTGGTATTGAAGACATCTTTACCAGCAGTACCTCAGCTTCAGATTGAGTATATTACCAAACAGAATATTGTGTTTATAGATCAGGAAAAGTCTTTTGATAGAGTGGAAAGAAACAAACTGTGGTCTGTTCTTGAGAACTACGGGGTACAAGGACAGTTACTAGAGAACATCACAGCCATGTACCACACAAGCCAAAGTACAGTAAAAACACAAGAATGCATATCAGATATGTTCACAGTCAACACAGGTGTGAGACAGGGATGTGTGCTCTCCCCACTTTTATTTAACATCTATATAGACAGAATATCTAAAGAAGCAAGTTATGATACCGACAACATAGACCTTTATAATCATGAGGAAGTACACACATTAGGAGAAGTAATCGATTCACCCACATTAAATGAACTGCTATTTGCTGACGACCAGTGCTTGTTCTATCCCGAAGAAGATAGACTGCGAGACCACATTAAGAGGTTAAACTCAGCATGCAGTAAATACAACATGAAGATCAATGTAGACAAAACCGAAACAATGCAAGTTAGTAGAACCCCTGCCCCACTACACATACAGCTGAATGGTTCTGCCCTAAATCAAGTTAGAGAGTTTAAATATCTAGGAAGTAAGATCACAGAAGATGGTAGAATTGACAGAGAAATAGAAACCAGATGTCAGAAAGCAAGTACACTTATTTACCAATTGTCACCATTATTAAGACATCCAAGCATAACTATGAGTGCAAAGAGACAGATTATTAATAGCATATTTATTCCAACATTAGGCTACCAGTGTCAGACATGGACACTATCAAAAGCCCATATACGCAAAATCACCACCTGCGAGATGAGGTGCCTGAGAAAAGCAGCCAGCCTAACAATACGAGATTGAGTGAATAATGAAACTATCAGGCAAATTGTGTGAACGACACCTTGCACTAGATGCATCGAGAAACAGCAGATCAAGTTATTTGGCCATCTCGTTAAAATGCAGCAAGATCAAATAACATCACAAGCACTACATCTCAGAAGATCAGCTACAAGAGCAAGAGGATGGCCGCGGAAATCATGGATCGACAACATTAAAGACACTCTACGCCTTCACGGCATGACAATAGCCAGTGGCAGCCAACGTGCACTGGATCGCAAATTATTCCTCCCCACGCCGCTTAACGGCAGAAGTGGTTTATGATGATAACGACGACCTCAGCTTCGATGAAGCCTATAATAGACTGCACCGACATTACCTCAGCTGAAACCTATAATTGACTTCACAGCTTAAATGGGCTTTGTCGGTGTACTTCACACAAGGCTGACTAATATGAACAGACCTAACGTTAAACGTGATACAGAGACAGAGTAACAAATAAACTGATCCCTAAGCTTAGGTCAAGATGTGAACAAGCCACTCCGGGAACAATGCGCACACCACTCCGTGAACAATAGACGAAAACTATTCCTAGTGAAGAATAGTCAAAACCCACCGCTAGGTGACGATACGGACAAGCTACTCCGTCAACAACAGGAACTTACAAGGGATTAATAAACAAAAAGGTTTTGATTAACGTATAACCACACACCATTGATTTGATTTGATTTGATTCAAGAACTGACATCACAGCGCTTGGAACATTCCCATACGCGCTCCGTGCCTATCTTCAGCAGCCAGTGAAAAGTTTCGATACTAATGGCGTCATAAGCATTCTGAATAAACATCCTTCTTGTCTTTCCTTTGAGCCTCGTGCATCTGCCAGAACCTCTCGTCACTCCCCTCAGCATCAAATCTCACCAGACTGTGGTGATCCATCTGCTCCTCCAAACTGTACACGCTCTCCCACAAGGCATTAACCACGCCCGCCTTATCATGCATCAGTATTCCACCAAGTTGTGCAGAGCCAGCCAGTCTGTCCACCTGTTCATTTCCAAACACACCGGCGGATCCGGTGAAAAAATCCAGACAATACTCCTGTTTGTTTTAGTATCCAGAAGCCATGAGTTGTTAACCCTTAGGCTCGGTATTATAGATATAGCAACCTTTCGGCCTTGATTCCATTGTAAATACCGTAAATCTGTTAGAAAATGTGGCTTTCCTGTCCACTCCCGGGATTAAACCCGGACCACAAGGAGTTCGTCACCCGGTCTCAGCGCAATCCGGTTTAGCCAACTACGCTAGAGAGCCGGGCAGACAATACACCTCACTCGTGTCCTCCGCAATGGGGCATGCCACTCTGCACGAAGCATACCTGTTCTGATCTACCTCAGCATGCTTTCTGAGTCAGTTACAATCACGATGTGTGTGTGTAGTGTTCTCTAACCAGCGGAAAGCTGCAGTTACCGCCTCCACCTCCATTCTTACCCTGGATGTTGTGGTATCATATGCTAAGCTCTTCTGCACCAAACGTCGACCATTAACTTTTCCTAAAAAACCCTAAGGACTTCTTTTGCCTCTTGACACTAACAAGTCTGTGTAAATGATTAAATCTTTTGAGCGAGCTGTTGCGTGCTGATTTTGGAGAGTGTAATATTGTGTGAAGGTACAGAGTGGTGTGATAGTTATTTCCGGGAGTTCAAGGAAATGCCCCGTGAACAGTGTCCACATTGGCCTGTGGTGAGGGGGAGAAAATGTTGAGACCAGTGAGAATGTTTATATCCAGCTCTCTTCTCCATGTGCTTTTTGGCCTACCTTTATTCCTATGCCCCTGTGGCTTCCAATGCAAAGATATTCTAGTTATGCTGTTCTTCCGTTTTCTCAGTGTGTGTCCTATCCAACGCCAGCGTCTTTTCCTCACATCTTGGTCCACTGGAGCCTGTTTAGTTCTCTCCCAAAGCTCTACATTAGTTATTCTATCATACCATTTAATTCCCTCTATTCTGCGCAGGCACCAGTTAATAAATGTTTGTAATTTATTAGTAGTTGCCTTAGCTGTTTTTTGTGTTTCCGCCCCATACAAAAGTACAGATTTGACATTAGAATTACCCATTTTAAGTTTAGTATTTCTTTTTATTTCTTTTGACCTCCACAAATTTTCTAGTGAAATGAAAGTTCCTCTTGCCTTTTGTATTCTTATTTTAATATCTCTATCAGTTTCTCCTTCTTTATCTACATTACTGCCCAAATAGGTGTACGACTTCACGTCTTAGAATGGGGTGCCATTAAGAGAAACCAAATTACTATTTGTCTGATAGATTCTCATCTGTGTTTTTCCTTTATGGATTTTCAGACCAAGCTGTTGTGACCTCGCATCAAGTATATTTAATTTATCTTGCATCTGATTCCGTGAATGGACAGACGAGAAATATCATCAGAGAAGTCCAGATCATCAAGCCGTTTTGTAGGGGTCCACTGAATTCCATTCTTGGTGTTAGCGGTTACTGTTTTCATAATCCAGTCTATAGCCAGTAAAAATAAGAGAGGCGACAAAAGACATCCCTGTCGCACACCTGTTTTTATTCAAATGCATCGGTTTGCTTTCCCTCATAAAGAACTCAACATTTCATGTCTTTACATGTTGCCTTTACTAAGTTGCTAATTTTCTGTGGGATTCCAAAGTGCCCCATCAATTTCCAGAGAGATTCCCTATCAATGCTGTCAAATGCTTTTTCATAGTCTATAAATCCGATGTAAAGTAGTGAGTTCAGTTCAATGCTTTGCTCTATTAT